AGCACAGAGAATTTCTCCGAGGCGAAAAACAATCTACGTCAAGTCAATGATTTCCAACCACCCCCGCTGACCGGATCACAACAACAACTTTTACCATACAAATCGATCATGTTGTTGCAAATTAAAGGTATGTTGTCTTTTTGATTACATCAGGACCAAATGATGTTAGAAGTGTATCGAAAAGTGGATGCCCCTGTGTTGTTTTATTGTGAATGTTATAATGTTAGCACCGCTGTGTTATCACCACTATAACATTCAGAGTATGTTGTGTCTCTTTAACACTCCGCTTCAGTTGTTCTGGTTACGGCATGTGTAGATACATTTATTGATCATTTACAACTAAATACTGTCAGTAGTGAAATTCAGATTTGAAAGTTAACCCAGATCATCTCTCGTTTATCGAAATGGGTTTGCATCTATCGGGAGTTAAAAACAGATACCCTCAGGGTACTATCGACTGATTTTCATCCGTTCGTGCAGATTGCAACCGCTGACTGCTAAAGACAACATAACCAGAGACACATTCCGCTACATGCCCCGTGCCCATTCATTTTATACAAAACAATCTTCACTTGGGAATCACGTGCCACATTCACAAATGTCGGCAAAATTGATTGGAAATTCGATGTGAGGTTTTTTACACTTCCCTTGGGTTAATGTGAAAGACCTACACAAAAGCAGACCAATATTACTGGAATACTTTCCATTCTATCTGCGGGGCCATCGGTACCATATTGATTTTTGTCCATGCTTAAATAAATTGATAAATTACGCACTAAATTCTGGCCTCCTAACTTGAGGAACGCAATAGGTAACTTTATATATCTCAAACAAATTTACTCGAAGTTGCAAATAAGGTTTTTGTGACCTATATACATATATATATCACAATAACCTTATCGGGCAAATTCGTTTGGATAGCTCTTTTAGAACCAGTCCATTATAGAATCAATGTCACGATTCAATGATTCAATTTTTCCCTGAAGAGCTGCAGGAACCACGAAACCATTCGTGTGCTTCCATTTCTAAACCATATATTGTGAAATAAATCTGTATATACGTATCTTATTTGTATTTAACACCTAATTACGAGTATCTCTGTTGACTCTAAACAAGATATTGATCACTCCAAGGAGGATATAAATCATTTGCCTTCAATATTTTCGTTATTTCCATTCTGATCAGAATCGGTTATCTCCACAATAATAAAGCAAAATACTCATGAACTCTTTTAACTGCACATTTGCTTGTATAGTACGATCCAATCAAATTGAGTTCAACGGAGTGTGGACATGTTTGTGGGAAATGAAGTAAACAGTGGAAAGTTAGAAGAAAATAAGTGCTGATTTATATATATATATATTGTATATATAATTTTATTTATATATAACTGATGATTGTGTCCACTGGTTCATGAATCTAACAAAACAATACGTCGGATGGAAAATTTCAAAAATCTTCGCCAGTCTTATACACAGTTAGGAAAGTGAATAGATGGATTAACCTTTTTGCCGGTTCGTTTTCGAATTTTCGTGGGATATACCATTGTAGTCATCTCGCCTGGAAGTTACTATAGTGTTCTTTGAGGGTAACGAAGTAATTCTTGACTAGATCAATCAGCAGTTATTTGCACCCTCTTATTCCATCAACTAGTTTCTCTCTACCCCGGGGAGTGAACTCTTACTCCTTAATCCCTGCACTTACTCGAGCGGTTTCGTGGTTTACTCGTAGTAGATTTAGTTCGGAGTAATCATCCGTTTTCCAATTTGAAAATGACCAACGTTTCATTATACTTATTCTGAGGAACGGTCTATCTAGTTTTGTGGGACAACAATCTTTGTGATGAACCACCAAGAGTTGTTCCTTCTTGTCTGGAACTCTTTGGTATTGTGTTATTTTGATATCCCTGCCGGGAATCGAACCGCGAGCTTTCGGTTTGGGAGTCAAAACCTCTATAATTCATCGTTTTTCATAGGTGCAGCCTAATGTTTCGTTTTTTTCTCAATCGGTGTGGCTAATTGTAAACTTTCCATCGGTATCATTATCAACGGGCACAATAGGCACTGCCTTCAATGAGATCCTTCACACCGATGGGTCGCAAGATCCACTTAAACACGTATCATCGGTGCCTGTGTAATAATTTAGGTAAATTCGAGAAGGGATCGATGAAACTTCCAATCTAATATCTGTACCATATGACATCTTTATTGTGTATGTGTCGGCAAGTTAGGGCATCATTTACTGTCTAGAAATTTAGGTATTGGTAATGATCTTTGATCGTTTTCACACCTTTCTCTCTGTACTTTTTCTCAATGCAGGTCGTCGAAAAGTCCAAGTGCGTTTGGTAGCTCCTTCGGCAGAATCAATGAACTCGGGTGACTGTTTTGTACTAGTTACTTCCTCGGCTGTTTTTGCCTGGTTCGGAGCATTGGCCAATATTGTTGAAATGAACAAAGCCCGTGGACTAGCTCATTGGATTCATATTCATCACGAACTTGGCTACCGTGGAAGTGGATCGCTCGATATTGTACCAGGAGATTCGGACAGTTATATTGGTGTGTACGAACAATTGCAGGATGATGATGATCTAACAACAATGGACATTGTCGAGGCAGGTTTGACCAAAAAGCGCCGTGATATAACCGACCCAGCCACAATCAAATTTTGGGAATCTCTGGGCTACGACTCCCCACAATCCGTTCAAGGTAAGCTGCTATCGATGCTGCTGACTATTTCAATTGGAAAAATCTTAAACATTGGCTGAAACACTTACTTTATCGATCATACCATGGAGTCTAAATACCTGAACCCCTTTGTGCATATTTAGTCAGGACAACATTTGGTCAACGGGCAAAACAGATTTCTCCAAAACATATTCTCAAATGGGTTGCTACCCACCAATGTCGGTTCCTAGGAATAGTAGAACGACTGACCGGTCTTTTCGAAAACTTCCCTCCGATCATATTAGGTATATCTAGGTTTAGCCTATCAAACATTGATTAGTTCTGCAATTTTCGGCTCTGATTACAATTGATCAATTTCGGTTATCCATATGTCACTGCTTGGGTTTTAAACGGAGCATCACTTGATGTCTGATAGACCCGTTTGCCTTCCCTCTTTACTGGATCGAAGGTTTATATAGTTCACCCCCTTCTGCCGTGCATTACAAAATGATATCTCATGAAGATGTGTGGATTGAGAAAACCAAGTATGTTAGTGAATTCTGTAGATTTGTTTTATTACACGCCAGTATATGATGAACATCAGTCGGGGTGGACCCCGTAGTCACGACGACCTGCTATCCAGAGATGGTAACCGGTAAAGTAAACCCCGGGACTTGGGATGGCGAACCACATAAGGCCCCGATAAGTCAGGGGTCAGATACGTGAACGTCGCTGAACTTCATCGCTTGATTAGATCACGTGCAGTGTTTTCGACTGGTGGTATGGAATTGGTTAATGAACTAGTTACGGGATGGGAACGCTGTACAATCGGATTTTCTTTTTGATGAATTCACCGTAAATCCTTTGAAGTATTTTCATCAATGAAATGATAATTAAATTTACTAGCGCATTAGTTGGTCTGATAAGGCTGATTGAATTCATTTGAAAAGTGTATAATTCTTGTCTAAAGGCCCATCATAGCCATGATGCCTTTGATGAGGTACATCGAATCGGGGGAATCCAAGATCAAATTGTCTTAGGTTTCTATCAATCACTAACCGAGTCGTAGTATACGCTCTCTTCCTCGTCCCATATTATAATTTGACAATCAAACGTGGTCCAAACTAGGATCTGGTAATGGTGCCATCTGTGTTGGAGAGATTGGCACTGTTTGAACAGCGGTTCTAGTGGATCCATGCAACAGCAGTCTCACAAAACTCAGTCGCTTGTGTGAATGTCTGTCTTGCGTGTGTAATGCATCGTGCAACACTTCAAAGCGAACACGAATTTGTTACCTAAACAAAACTATGGTAATTAGAGGATGATGCCTTACAATCCAACAACCCGAATTCAATAAAATCAACAAAGACTAATTAGATGCGAGGCATCGCTGGTTTTTCATAATAAAGTCGTTGCAATTCACATAATATAGATATATGCATACTAAGTATGTGTTTCTCTATCCGATTGGGAATAATGTAATGAATGAAGTCTGTGAACAGCGGAACTATTTTATTTTCCCCGCTTGCTTAAAGCATTTCGCTGCTCATAGTTTAAATCCCAGTCTGCTTGAGATTCTGTCAGACTTGAGCTTGCTCTGCTTCGGTCATGCACTGTTCACTGTGTGTAGACGGTTTAAAGACGGACGGATGGGAGTTACAACTTGTCATCTCCATGTACGGGGTAGGTGAAGAAATTAGTTGGGCAACCAATATCCACTTGCACATTACCTCAATTCGGGTACAAACTCTCAATGTGATTTGTTGTTCTAAGACAGAATTGATCAAATCCTAATCGTATTGTTATTTCTGTACACTATTCAACTTTCTGTATTTAGGCTTCATTGGTTTGATAATGATCAAAATCGTATTGTTTTCCCGAAATGAGTTGTCGCTGGCCTTTTTCTAAATCATACATGTGCGGTGTCGAAGAATGTTTTTAGTCAGTATGAATGCAATCAAAATATGATTGTTCTTGTTCTCCTTACTTTGAAACCAATATATAGCTTTAAATAATAATAACAATAATAATGATCAATGAAAAAACGATGATGTATTCCATTTTATTAAACCTGTGAAGAAACGTGGTCATTTTAGGAAGAAGATCCCTGAGAAATATCGAGTTTTGACTCCATTACCTTTTGTACAGCGCATGCTTTGCCGGTTGAGCCTACACTGATAGCAATGATCTTTTCACATATTTTCATAAATTTTCACGAAACCCTGGGCAGTGTGTATGCCAGGGTTTGAATCCCACCGAGGCTACTGAGCCTTTTTCAATTAGAATATAACACTTCTGTTTGCCAATCAACCTAACCTGAATCAGTGTCTTCATATATCTATTAGACTAAACCGATTCCGTGATGTTAAGATCAGACTCACATTAATTTTATTTAACTTCAAGTGAATCCAACCAGTCGCATTCCACTGTAACCCCGCATGAGAATTGGTGTTTCATCCGCCAAACCTCACCGATTGGACCGGGTCTGTCTAACTCCCGTCCAGTCCGAGTGAACTAACTTCTCCGTAAACAAACAAAAGTACTTTTTGAGTGAGCTACCGAGCAAGGATGAAAGGTTCGGNNCACACACACCTCACCTGGGAAAGTTATGTCCGTGATCGTCATAGACGCGAATAAAAGAACCCAGCGTTAATTGACCTCTGTCGGTCGAGTAAGGAAGCGAATCACTTCAAGATGAATCGACAAATCGGTCACCATGCCCAGATGTGAATTTTTGGTGATTCATTGCATGGTTGGATTCAGTCCAGGCCCTTAATACCCTAGTGCGTAAATTCTATTGGGGCCGTGATTCCCTCAAATAACACCGATTCCTTTGAATCGAATGCGAAATGCTAACGTATTTCTCACATTGAGAAGCACACTTTACGAGATAATTAACAATAATACTCGGATACAGTAGTTCACATCAATAACACAATCAAATTCGAACTCATTCACTGGCTAATAGAATTCACACTTCCTCTATGATTCTCGGGATAACTACAATCAATCCACAATGCCAATGGCCACAATTTGTCACCTTCCGCTTCTCCCTTCGCTATTCAGCTTTATCGAATAGGTTCTTATCCTTATTGTATAATTGATCAACCCGACGCATCTTTTCACATCCTGATTGCAATCGTTCAATCCTGATAGTTTAGTGAATGAGACAGGTGGTGATAAGAATGAGTAACAGTTATCCATGCTCGAGCAATGCTGATACAAACCTTCTATTTCTACTTATACCGGTTAAGTAGTTTTCCTCAGATCCCCGCAACCCCTGATTCATGAAATAAACAGATCACAATCTGACCCGCCAAACTGAAACATACAAACAGATTCGATTACCATGCGGTGTATCTACACATGCGTTATGTGATTTTGTTGCTCAGCAAGCATCTGCTTTTTCTGCAACATTGCTGTCACTCTTATTTTGATTTTTTTTTTTGTAATTGCAAGTATACGTATATGTGCAACCGGAAAAGCTAACTACCAAGGCCATTCGTGTCCTTTTAACAAGTTAACAAAGTTAAGCATGCAGTTTTTATAGAAATTTCGATTTCTTTCGTTCGATGGATGATGGGTCTTGAGGCGGCGCTTCAGGAACAGTAAAAATCCGCGATGCAGTTACGTTTCGTTCCGGTGCATCAGATAAACTGCTGATTACCGACGGGTTCATTTAGCAACTAACTATTCGGTTATCTGCTAGTTGAACATTTAGTACCTCTTCGGCATGGCATTGAATTTACCCAATGCGCTGCAGCAATTTTGCAAGGGAAACGGACTTTGGTGCTACCTGCAGTGCGTACCGTTTTAGCAAGTGTGTGTGAAGCAGAGTTAGGTTAGCAGTCTCCTTGTTCTTTGTTCTGCGATGGCCCGTACCCACCTTGTGCAATTCCTTCCAGTGCGTGTACCTTAGCACTATAAATCATTTTCGAGATCCAGTAGCAGGAAAATAACAACACATACTCACACGTACACATGAAGACTACCAGTTTGACGCACCATTCGCCTTAACCACTATCAGTGTACTTTATCAAACCGGCAAGGAACATTTTTTTGCAATAACACCGCGAAACTCGGTGTGCACTTTGGGGAATCGTTCGTTGCTTGTCTCTCTCCGCCTATGTGTTACTCCTTTTGCCACCAAAGACTGAAAATAAAAGAGCGAAAATCTTTGCCTAGTGACCTTTTTTGAATCCTTTACGTTGTGTGAGTTCAATTCGTTCTATCCTTTTTCTATGTTGATGACTTTTCGAGTAATTGCACCACGCTTGTTTTTAGTCTTTTGGTGATCAAGAGCTTATTTGTTGCGATAATAACGAAGAAAGAAATGTGTTATGTTCCCCTTTGGTCACTTATTGGAGTATTTCGGGCTAATGCCAAATTGTTTCAGTTATCAATGCTATTCACACACATATAAATATAGATAAAGGGAGGGAAAAATTATCCCGTTTCTTTAATATACTTCCTTTTATTGAATATTCAATGCTACAATTCTCAGGAAGAGAGAGATGATCAATCAAAGGGCTGCCATGCAACACAGAATGGGAAAAAGTCGGACGGTGACTTTGGGATTCGAACACAAGTTTTCTCGGGCGATACTTTAATCACCACCAGGCCATCAACGCCCATTTGGTTCCTCTCTCTAGCATTCCGGATTTCTTTTATTCTCACAACATGGTCTTAGGGATAGTTGGTTTAAATGTGCATATGATTGAGTTGTTTTTCTGTCTGTTTGTAATCCCCGGGTAATCAAAACAATCAAGCAACATTTTTACAGTTTACTGCTTATTTTGTTTAATAATAACAGAACTTGATCATCCCAATCCGACAGAGTGAGCTAGTATCAACCTGATGATGTAAATTCGATGGAAAGTTATCGTTCCCCTACATTTCACATACATTTCACATTTATCTGAGCCCATAGTGGGCGGTAAAATAGTTGTGATACAACAGTTGTTATGACGCGGAAATTGGTTCATAATTTGCTTGTGGATGAAATACAACCAGGTTGCAAGTGTAAAGTAAAGGAGGTTTTCTTGAACTTTTTGATCAAAGCCTTTGGCTTACCAAAGTCTTACTCGCAAGGCAGTCGACCTTAGGCAAAAATTCTCTTGATGCTTACATCAAATCTCAGACAATGCTATTCATTTTTCAAAGAAATTAGTCTTTGTCTTATGATTCAGAACCATACTGATCATTAAACAGACATTCTCCCGGAAACAAACCGTAAGCATCAGTCTGATAGACAATAGCGTCGAATTGATCAATCGTTGCTTTCTCGACTACTCCAGTGCACCTTAAATGTGTGTGCATGAGGAAGTTAAGTGGTTTTACACTATTGTGTAAGCGATAACAATCAGCATCCACAAGCTCGAATCATACAAACAGCGGTTGTCTGTTATAACCACCTGGAACCCCCAGACCCTGAAGAATTTAATCAGTCATCTCGAATTCAACCTTCCAATGATAATCTGGTTATTGCTGATAGAGTTGCTTACACATTTCCCGTTCATCACTTATTCCTATAAGTGGCTTTGACCCGAGCAACGTAGCAGTATCACGCTCGCGAGAAAGTACAGTTGATCCGTGGTCGAGTATGCGTTGTGCCTGTTAGGTCCTGTGCTCGATTCTCAGTTAGGTCGATGGATTCGCAATGCTGATTGAACCCAACCAGATGAAAACTGCTGTCCAGTGCTGCCTATCTTTTTAGCTTATCATCATATAATCCAATCATATCCTCCATTACTATCATACAATAAGTTCCCAGTGAACTGAAATTTTGGGTTGTGGTACAAAATATCAAATTTTTGCATTCGTTTATTCGGTAGGCTTACTCTGTTTTCTGTCTTTTCTGTCATTTCACGTGTTGCATCTGTCAACTTGTTTCTGCATACTTCCAGCGAATAGCTGCACAGCTGAGTACTGAATCTGACTTATGTAGGTGTAGAAAATAAAAGCGCGTTAATGTTTAAGGATCTGAATAATGAAAATTTCCACACATGAAACTGCTCAACCGAGTCAAATCCTGCTTCCTGTCATAATTCCAGACGACGGTGCTGGTAGAGGATAGCTTCTTATCAAGAATTTCAGTTGGGACATCACCAATTTGGCATACATAACACAGAAATCTAATCAGCAACGTACCATCGCAGTTCCTGTCCACACAACGGTTAATGATTGTAGAAGTGTAGAAATCGATAGTTCTTCTTTGAGACCCAACAAATTGCCCTCAGTGATCTTTTTGATTTTTGGTCGTTGAAAATAATCACCAATTATGTTAACTACTACTAACAAGTGAGTGATATCTCACAAGACTTATCACTATGCAGCACGTTTTTACCCACCGTGTTTTCAATGCTCTCCTTCCCATATTTACTATCCTTTCTATCTACTGGAAAATGTCATAATCACTATCACTTGTCATGTGACTGGATTGGTCCGATTCAGCCTGTGGATCTGCAGAAGAGGACGAAATGTATGAAACCTTGATGCAGCATACAAATCGAGTATACGAAGTTACGGTCGATCAGCTGGTGCCAGTCACAGACTGCTGGGGTACTTCGATCAAAAAGAGTCTCCTACGCACTGATAAGGTGAGTCAGTGTCAATAAGATTGTGCATTCTTGCACCTCTTTCCCCATGCTACTGCTCTGTCCACCCTTGTTATCTACGCTGTCTTGTGCAACTCCCCCCAACAACTATTGTTTATGAATATCCTAAGAAGATTCGATGAAAATACTTAAATAGTACTACACTAATGCAAGTTCTAAAACTGGACAATATAATCTCCCTTTTTCACTTTATTCTCAAAACGTATCCTTTACAAGCAGTCGCTTAGCAATTTCTTAACTGCGATACCAATATTTCCCAATCTTCTTTTAAAGAGCCTGTTCGTTCATCATGGGTCTTTTCAAGGCTATCAAGGCTACAGTAGGGCCACCTCGAAACATGGGTCCGACGAAAAAGTAATGATTATTTTGTGTTGGATCGCTTGAGCATTGTTTTGTCATATTTAAAAGGTGATATTCCTTTTTTTATCTTAACTAGGATGAACGGCGGCAGAAAATATTCATTTGTGTCGGTAAATTTCCTTGTTTCGGTTACTGTCCAAGATTGCTAGTTAACTTAAATCAGCTGTGGAAAACGCATCACAGACCAAAATGCATCATTCGTCGTTAACATTGTTTAACGATTCCTTTTATTCCTTCCTGGCATCATGCCAGTGATAGTGTAAATTGTCCAATTTGTGAAGGTTAAACATTTTCTCTTTACCAAATATCGCCCTCCTATGAACGCGTCTAACAAAAATTGCTCATTCGAGAAATCGACGCTCGGGTCTCGAAACGTCCTGTTTTGCCCATGGCCGCGTTTTTCCTATAACTTTGGTGTGCATGTTAATGCTTTGGTCAATTCATACTTACTTCCCTTTCACTCTAAACAAGCTCCAGTGTGTCACATAAAAATTGGCGCAAATCCATAAAACAGTCTAGTTGGGTAAAACTCCGGGCGCTTGAAGAATCGAAATGTTAATCTGTGATCCGAATGAGACCTTCGTCAGTCCCCCTCATGCATCAGATAGAAGCTGTGTATTGCGTGTATGTGTATGTGACTGATGTCATACCAATGCTGTTGAGGTCTTGTTCCAGCTTCTTTCCATCGACACGTTTTAAGACAAGTTTTCATGTGACCAAATTAGAAACAGATCAGCAAATTCGGAACTGGTCCGATTTACTCACTCACTCATACATCACTACGGTGTACGCTCGACCAACCGAGCTCCGAAGACAGGATGACGGATTTGATCCTTTTACATTGGATCATCAATTTAACTTTAAGTGATCAAGTGGACACAATAACCAGCAGTCAAGCTAACTTTCTTTCACAGTTTGGTCAGGTGATGAAGGACGTAAAATTCACTAGCTCGTGAATGCCAGCATGCTCGGCGTATGAGAAATAAAATCAAGAGGCGCACGGTGACTTCGTTTTTTTCGTTTAATTGCTTTGATTGAATATCTAATAATACAGTTTTCAAGAGGAGGGAAGCGTCCAATTAGAAGGCTGCCATACAACACAAAATGGGGAGTCAGGCGACGGTGGTGGGATTCAAACACACGTCCTATGGGGAGATAATTTTTCAACCTTTTCCACTCAGCCACAACTTGCAAACTTACTTATGGTGAGACACGGAAACACCGCGCACTAATGCCAAAATGAATATCATTGTTTGGTGTCTATCGGATCAAGGCTGTCTCAGGGTTTCTCTGGATAGGGCAGAAATTGATTAGTTAGGCGAGGAACTATGAAATTTATCTATTCATTAGGTGAAAAAGACTGGAACTGATATCCTAACAAACAATCTTTGCCCTATGTCCCCCCCTACGATAATACATTAATGACCCGTTCAATCTCCTCCGGAAGAAATTACACAGGATGCATTACTCTGATTTCAGTATGTTTATGCTGTTCACATTTCTAGTTATGCGCTATTCGACGGGAGAGTGCTATGGGTTTTTGGAATCACCTATCTAGGTAAACTAAGTTTGTTCTGTGGGAAAAAATGTTGTATTACATTGGCTAGATGCAAATGCTTCTGTTTATATTGTTCATTATCTTCAGAATTGTTTCGGGTTATACTAAACACAATCGCATATTCGTCTCTGAGATATAACTTTATCGTCTCACTAATACATTGTGCGCTAATTAACTCTATTAGCACTAATTCCGTAAGTACGGTATATTGAGGGAAAGGGAGCATAGACATATCTGACAATAACAACTTCAACCAATTCATAATTATTGAGCTCAATTGTACGACCTGACTAGCGATAAGGACCCACTGGAGCAAGTGATCGACCTCCATAGATTACGTTGCTTGGTGTATGTTTTACGCATGTCACCAACCAGGTTGCCACGGCGAGCGATGTTTGCCGAGGCAGGTAGTGGGTGGAAAAAGGTCAAGGGCGCACAAACAAGACCTGGCATGAGGATAGGAAAACCCTAACCAGGAGACCAGGTCAGATAGGCCCCGCAAGACTCCCTGATTGGGGACTTCAGGATGATCACACACAGCGATACGGCTGCGTGCCGCAAACATTGGCGCTCGTGCATCCACTCATCATTCCTCTAACACCATTCTATATAAATTCTCCATCTTCCGCTTGAATTTGCTTTCAACATTCCAATCTTCATCCTGCTCTTTTATCCAAATGGGGCACCAAAAGACAGCAACCAAAACCGGCGCACGAAAGTGCATAATTAATGTTTGTAAAAACTGAACTGAACTCACCATCATACAAATGTACCACATGGAATGCCGCATACAAGAAGTAGATATATTGTGACAATCGTAACAGGCACACTTTTTAGCATTCAGTGCACTCGTTCTTGGAAGAATCACTTCACTGGACTATAACACGGTGTGATACAGCAAACCAAAAATGATTTTTTTAAACCACCACAGCATAGACAGCGAATAGATACTCTCAGTAATTCTTTACACTTATCTGTAACTCACTGCTATGTCTGGTAGTTGAAATCTGGCGAAGACCTCTGCCACCTGTCACAAACTAATTGCTTCATGCCATATCATTTCCTCGTTAATTTTTCACAACTTCTCATCGGTCATTTTAAGATATCAGTTTTGTGCTGTAAGTACCACATTTTATCCAATCGAAAATTGTTATCCTTCGTCAAATCTGATTATGCATTGCGTTTGTTTTTCTCCGAATGCACAGGCGTTTGTTTTTGACTTCGGTTCCGAAGTGTATCTGTGGACTGGAACCCAAGTCAGTCCGGAAGTTCGTCTAGCTGGAGTGGAATTAGTGCAACAAGCGTACTCGGCCCCGTACGACTATTCTCATTGCCGACTAAATCCTCTGAATCCCTTGTCTAGTGAGTTCATTTTTTGTCCTCTCAATAATCCATTTTATCATGCAACCAGTTCCCTTTAACAATTTCATGAGAGCAAGAAGAAGCATCATGATCACAGGATGTGTTGAATTCAACTATTTCGTGGTAATCTCATCAGCTGTCACTCTTTTAACCAAACATGATCTGAATGTATGTACACATCTGATGAGATTACCACGAAATAGTTGAATTCAACACATCATCAACATCAACACATGATGCTTCTTCTTGCTCTCATGAAATCCATTTTATCGTCCATACTGAACGATGTTTTCAACACACTTTTTGCTTCCTTTCTCCACCTTTCACTGTGCCTGTCCTTGTAACTTCTCATAAAAGTGTGAATCGATGAGGCCTCGTTTAGTTTCATTCCTATCAACTGGTAATTCTAATAAGTGCAATCGTCTAAATTCATGGATGGACTAACGGTTTTATTGGCATCACTCATAATCAAAACATTCAGCCCACTTCCACTTCCATCGTCATCAGCGGTCTGTAGTGGTTCTTCTGTTTTGCGTGGACAGGTCGTGCACGTACGCTTCGACCTCCCCCAAAATCGGTTTCACAGCCGTTCGGGTATGGTTTGCAATATACTGTCTGTCTACCTGTCTACCTCTCTGTCTTTGTATTCGCGCGCATATGTACGCGTGCGAGCGTGTCCTCGCACGTCAATCGAAAACATTCCGGAGCCAGTTAGGTCAGTTAAACAAACGATCATGTCCTCTCACCTGACCTACGGAATGAACCATGGTGCGTTGGTGGTTCACCATGTGTAGGTGAACTGACCGGTTCGAATAAAGCATTTCACACAATGACCTATGATTTTGCGGCGAAACCCATGCCTTGTTTATCCATTCAGTAACGGGTAAAGGATGAACACCTGAAAAACACTAACGCTCCTTGAACAAAGACTGGGAAACAGATGAATAGGTAATGGAGAGATGGAAAAATCGCACTTTTTCCGGCATTTTTCTCGCGTTGGTTGTCTACAGCGGCTCAGGCATTCAGCACTCCGATTTTGTTCGGATCGCTTTCGAACCGATTACCTGGTTGGAGGAACTGTGTGACAGAGTTCCCGGAGGAGAATAGAAATTCCCAGTCAAAAGCATACCGGTGACTTCACGTAACTTGGTGTACGTACACATGCAAGTCCACGTTCGAGCGCTTGGCGATTGAAGTGACCATGTGTTTTGTGGGCTTTACTCCGCCCAAATCCGAAGTTCTAAGTAGAACTTCGTATTTAGGCAACAACCAAGAAAAACTTGTCGCTGCAGTCATCAAAGCCGTTTGTTCATTGCATGTGATTGATCACTTCATTTCTCTCGATATCGAGCGATGTGACTGAAGATGTAGGTACGCCGCACCTAGAAGAATAAGCCAAACTGGTTTTAGTCAACCTAAGGCATGTGCATCGCATTCCCCTCTCTGAAGCAGAATTCAAGGGTGTTCAGTGTCACGGTTAGAAATATTTTGCTGTGCGGTCGCAAAAACCGGAAGCTCTGCGTCAATGATAGCTTTCAGTGACACCACCGCTATCTCTCTTGAAGTTAGATTGTCTCAAATTGACTCCTCCATGTGCAAACAAGAATTTTAAGGTTAATTTCACATCGGGAGTACAAGTTTAGTGATTCGCTTGACAGAATGTTGCTGGATACACACATCTGGTGAACTGCAAGTGTCCCGAAATCCGGGTAATGGTCATTTCGTTCAATTGGTTATATATCGCTTATATTATATATATTTATGGCTTATATCATCTGGATTTTCATCTCAACCCATTTACAACTTCATTCACTCCATCACGAGTTGTGAAGCGCGACCATTACTCAGATAAAGATGGACCTAAGACATACGTGAAGTCCATCGTTCATCATGAAGTGTGTAAACCATGAAAACCAGTTTGATGAAATCCATTCGCCGAAATTTATCGCAATGCCTTGCACGTTATCATCACCAATCAGCAAAGATCTAACACAGTGATAACTAACCCAAGACAATCTCAGTTGGTTTTGATTCACTCTATGTATAACGCAAACTTAATCGCACTCGCTAGTTCAATATGGGTGCAACATGCTATTCAGTTTCCTTTCAATTATCGATACCCACGTTTGATATATCATGAAGTTAAACGCTAAGAGAATAACGTGAAAAATGTGAGGACAATACATGGCTGTGCAAGAAAATATCAATGACTTTATCACACGTCAGCAATCAACCACATCCTTCGATTTCTTCCATCATCGACCGCTCTCCAGCATGATATAAACTATCAAATTTCTGTAAGAGTTTGATGGTGGAGCACCAATCCAGACTGTCGCCTTAGGTTATAGGCTAAATAGTTGGTGAATCAATACAGAGCTCAACGGATGACGTGAACACAAATAACTGTGTGAAAAAGTTAGATCCTCATCAAATATTAGGGAAGTTCTCGATGTCACTTGTCGATCACAGATTTATCTGTTCAGTGTAACTTCAAAACTCTGTATACTTGTAAAGCGTTTAACCTTGTTATCCTTTAGGTACGATCGGGTTTCATCTTGTTTTATTTGAAATTGAAAGTCTGTTTCTTAGCAAGATCGTTTAACCCGAAAACAGACAGTTGCGGAAACTACCAAGAAGAGTTGTGCGTGTTTCTATATTAATGGTTGTTACGGTCCGTACAAGTTCAACGATTTATTAAGATTATCCGTTTACCGGACCAGATTGGAAAAATAATGCGTGTGCCATAGACGAGTCAAGCGTTGGCCTAATGTCATCACCGCTTAAACCTTTTCCATTCTTAATTTCCCGGATGGCGCATCGCTCCACTACGGATACTCCTATTGTGATTCTCTACCAACACTTAAACGGCATCGGGTTCCTAACTTATCGTCCTCCTATGCAGGCCCGACAATCACACGATCGACCGGATTCGTTTATCGATCGGTCGAATGGCTCAGCTGGAACAGGGGATGTGATTCAGTTAACCCGAGTGAGAGGCTACGGATCGATTACAAGTGACAACACGGTCATCAAAAACATTACAAACTAGTGATCAGATAGTCTCGTGTCGGGTTAAAGGGTCAAGGTTAAGGGGTAAAGTTGCACGAATAGAAGAAAATGATCCAGTCAGATCACAGAGAGAGTCCGAGGTGGTTAATTGTTTAAGGTCACGGGAGAGAGGGGCAAAGCGATGTGAAACGATGGCGCCATCGTTCAGTAATCACTAATCACAAGATTGCTAAGGTTTGCAGAATTGATTGCTATCAAACGACTGAGTCCCCGTTGCGTCAACAAAAAGAACTTTATTTCAGTTTGTCCATACCCTGGTGACATGATCCTTTCACCCCATAAATATTATACTATTTCACACATGTCTGATGCCAGAATGTATGCCAGACAAACCGTGTTACCCCTCCTCCTCCTTCTATGTTTGTCTGTCTTTATGTTATTTACTTTTCTGTGTTCCCATGCTAAAGCCCTATATGAACATTGTGTTTTCTGCAGTGTGCCCCATGTTCAGATGCAGCGAAATAGTCCTGAACATAAATGGTGCGGTATTGCGATAAGGTCTTTTCTTTTAAAATTTATCTCAGGAAAGGTTTTCTCAAAATTCGTCTCTCATAAACTATTATACCAATCTGTCTGGTGAAGTTATGTATGCCTAACCGCAGTGAAAATGAACGTAAGTGTTGAGGTATTACAGGCTGCTGAAGCGCACTCTAGATAGATCAAACGTATGACTGTTCGGTGTGATAACTGTTCGTAATCGATATAGGTTACGATCTGTATGCATTGTCGATGACAATGGAGAAACAGAAGCTCGGAGTTTCCAAGATTTTCCGGTGGTTAGCAACCAGTTGTATCTGAAGTGCTTGCCATCAAACAAATCCCTCAAACCGGATCGCGTAATACTTCGTTATTGATAATCCTGCATGATCTCAAGCAGGCTTCTTCGGCTCAAAGGCAACCTTACCGGTATTATTATATTATATTATATTTCACTCTCGTCTGAGACCAGACTTTATGCCAAACGAACTGCCAACCTGCCAGGTTGCCGAGGCCGAGACAGGTGAAATTTCTTGAGGAGTCCACAACTGGTAATCACACAGAACTGACGAATGGGACAAGTTACCGAAGTGTAGAAAATATGGTTAAATAAATACTGAACCATTGAGGGCATTGCTTTGTGCTGCCTCATGGTTCTTGAGGTTGTGCCAACGGCAACCAGTATTTGATGTCCATTAGCACTTTGGAGTTTTGTCATCTGTTTTGCTTGTGCTGGAGTGTGAGCCTGTTGTCGGAGTCGAGGTCATCATCTCAACACGGTAATGTAAACAGACAGTGGCTCGTAGTTTTCGTAGTATAGTGCTCATCTCATCGCTTCATCTGGTAATATATTCCCATCAGTTAATTCGCCTGTCTGCTGTCCTCGTTCTGCGTCTGACCAACAACTCTGGTCACTGATTTTGGAACAGCCTGTCATTCGTGTATATTGTTTCTTTTTCGTTTCAGTATTGTTTGTATTCGGTCGTGTGAAACCGACTCCTAATTTTATTCTCAGATTGTAGCTGTTTGAGAAAAATCTGCGTGCAATGTTTCGTAAACAACCTTTAAGATGACTGATATTCTGGTTTTCGAGCTAACTGGTTGACCTATCTAACGGACGAGTCACGGATTACCCACATCAGGATTCGATTGATCTGAAACCCCTGTAACAGTTGAATTTGTATGATGTTTTTCGCTAACCGTTAGGCTCTTATACGCACTCTCACCTTGATAGGATAGCATATCGACCCGAATACCAACCATTTCACCCAATCCCATCTCAGATTTCATAAGCCTAAACTTCAACCCACGGTGAATGTGCTGTGTTGTGCTGTTTACCATATGGTCTATCTGTAGTTTGACCGGTTTAATCAAATATAAAAACGTAATCAGACAAAGACACACAAATAGGTGCACAACAAAAATACTCGGCACCAGGAGTAGAAACAGCCCAGTCACGCTTTACAGTTCTATCGATTTAGATAGAGTGATCAACACATTGATCAGGACAGTTAAATATCACGAAGCCACATTGAAAAATCTATTTGTTCAGTTCAGTTCACTTTGTACAACCATTAACCGTGATACGGTTTTGGTTACTTTCTTTCGGTTGCCCATTTTGTTATTGTAATACTAATCACAACTCAACCGTTTACCATACTTCCTTTATCATACCAAGTGAATCATGACAAAAAATGCGGTTTTAGTTTGTAAGGTCACTAATCTGGCACTTTCAGCCTTCCGTTTTAAGTGCCGCCTTTGAAGTCGACACGTGTTTGATCAACCAAAACGTACAAACCCTAGAGCGAATAAAAGACGATGACAACGTTCACAAGAGGGGACGTGTGAAATATTATAAAACTCGTTTAAGAAGCTCAGGAGAATCATCTTGTTGTCTCAAGCCATCGGAATAAAACCGATTCCGCTTCCTCATCTACGTCAACTTTGCATGGATCACGAATTATTTCTGTCGTGCACCAACTTCTCCCACAAGAAACGAAACCGGCTTAGGATGAAACCACCCACGTTTTCACAGCGATAGAATCAAATCGACCATATTGCTATCGGCCACCACTGGCGAGGATCGATGGGAGACTGCCGTTCTCATTGATCAACAGCCGACACGGCCCACGCTCTGTTACGAGCTAGATGCTCCCAACGCCTGGTAAACAACCGCAAAAGTGGTACCGGAAAAAGATGCCTACAACGCAGTGTCAACAACATTAGCAAATTGGCCTTCAAATCGGAGCTCTCTGATAGCCTCTCAGTTAAACCGACCACCGAAGGATTCAATGAACACTGAATGTTTATTAAGAAAGCTACCCAGAAGTCCATCAAAACAACAGCGGATTCTGATATACGATCGAAGCACAAACGAAGGATATCATCATCATTGGTTGCCTTGCTGGATGCCCACAGGAAAATTCCTCCTGATGCTAATTTTGACAGCGTATGAATCCTTCATCAACAGCCTGAGAAATGACCGCGAGAATTCGTGGTTAGGAAAGCCTAGAGAGACGGAAAAGGCAGCGGCGATCAGTAATAGTCGCAATCATTTCCGTTTAATTAGCCCAAAGAAAGTAAAAGTAAGTGAGGTCATTAGCGAGTCTGGCTGCACACTTATTCGCATTCGGCAACGCCGTCTGGAACGATGAGCTGAACGTTTCTAGTCTGAGACCAACTGACCCCCATTGACATTAGGTTTATCAACCCCTGGGCGAATAGTACCACTTGATATAAGTCCTTCATCTGAAATGGAGGTCTTCAGGAAAATAAATTATTTCAGAAGGTGTAAGGCTTTAAGCCCTCCATCTCATTTTTCAATTCAATGTTGTAGTAGATTTTATTATGGAAACAGCCCTGGCCTCGAGCGAAGATAGTGGCTTCAATTTTCTGCCAGGTAGTAGGTTGTTTGATCTGGAGTATGCAGACGACATTTTACTGTTAAGTAAAGATCCAGGTAAGATGCAAGCTTTCCTGGATAGTCTGAGTGCTTTTTGCACCTTCAAAGTGCAAAGTGCTGCTACAGGACTGGGTTGACCAAGACCACAAGCTCACTGTAACTGGAGAAATATTATAGCAAGTACATAAATTTTGCTATCTGGATCGTTACATCTCACCTAGCGGATGCATCACAGATGAAGTGTCAGACAGCATACAAAAGGAGGTATTGGCATTTGCCAACTGGAGACATCTGTGGAGCCGTTGCGACATCTGGCTGTCCGTGAAGGGTAGTGCGTACGTTGCAGGCGTTCGGTTAGTCATGCTCTACGGTGCAGAGACTTGGTTGTTACGGGAACAGAACAAAACTTGATTATCGGTGCCCGAGCACCGTTGTTTATGCCGAATTGCACGAGTTTGATGGAGTGCCCGGACAAGCAATACTGAGTTTAGGCGCGGGCTCCCATAGGTAGGTCAGACCATGACTCTATTTTCTACATCCCAAAATTTACGACAAGTATTTTCATCATCAAATGAACTGTTTTACGTCTAAAATTATTGGAAGGAGAATTTGCACCTCTGACAAGGTAGCTAGACTTAGAGATATGATTTCTTCTACCGGTTTCACTGCCTTTTTTCAAAGCTGATTACTCTTCAATTTGGGAGCAGTTTAAATGTTACCTTAACGTTTGCTGTGATCTGTGTTGTCCGATAGAAACTTCATACACTCGGACTGGCAGATTCTGTTCACCTCGTCTAAAACTACTCCGTCGTGGTGAATAAAAGAATTACAGGACTGGAAGGCCACTACCAATCAAAATGGAAGTAATGCATTTAAATCGGATTTATAGTGTGACTTTTATGAGAAGCAAGAACTGCCGTGATATGTGACCTGCTTTGACGCAGCTCTATGGATCACTCAATAGGTCTTTCCCGGATGTTGAGGAGTTAAAATGTCAATTCTGTACTGAACTCAACACCACCATTTGCATCTTATGGAGAGAACCAATCTGTCAACTCCGGAGGAAGTTTTGAAGGTGCCGAAGTCCATTAATTCCAACAAGGTGCATTGGCCTGATTACTAGTCCCCTGTCCTGTTGAACGTTTGTGCTGAACAGCTTACTTCAACTACTTTCGAGTTGTTCAGTTTGTTTAGGTCATCTGGTAGTAACCCTGATTGCTGGAGAAAAAGGATCGTCCAAATAGCGACCGACTGCTTGAACATCAGCACTATTGAAAGTTCTCGAAAGAGTAGCCAGATGACCCTTTTATCTGTTGCTCATGGACCTACTCAATTTGTTTACAAACCTTCACTTTCCACATCACCTTATCATCTGATAGGATAATAGGTGTAACAACAAGTTTCACCTATCAAGCGAGCATTGAAATTCGTTGGGGTGATCAGCCTGATTGGGAGAATCAGTCTCGTTGAATTACCATTTTTCTTAAAATCAATCAGTTCACTAATGCACAATGCACAAGAAACGTTGATTTTCACGGGGCTGAATGTAACTTGGTTACTTCGATTACGCTGGATACAATAGAGCGGATCTCTCCGCATCGGTTCAAGCTGATGATTTTTCCTAAGAGCTAACTTTAAAAAAACTGGACAATTCATTTTGGTTTGTTCACTGAGCTTGCTTTCCCCAGCTTGTCCGGGCTGAAATACGAGTCATCGTTGAAGAAATACATCCTAGTGTAAGCGTTTTCACATTTACACTGAGAAATTCACTTGTTACCTGAGGCCATTCATCCAGGCATGTGTGACCCAGAGTCACACAAGCCCCGAAACAGGTTCAGTTTAGAAAAAGGGCTGTCGAAAACAACTGGACCAAATCAAAAGGTCTCCACGGAACACCGTGGTCTAATATGCGGACAGAATTCACCGTAGACTGTGCTATGATCAGGTCATACAAATCTGGTAGTTAGTTAGCATGTGAACATATATTTTCAAGACTGCTGATCACACCCCCGGATGAAAATGCCAACCCCGACAGAGACCTTATTCGATCATTTGTGTGCAAGCAACTCCAAGCGAAGGGCCATTAGCATAAATGCCTGGTGATGACTGACTGATCCATGGATGAGCTCCCCTCTTGAGGTACAGTTAACCAGATCTATTTTGCTCGCCGCTCTTCGCCTTCGCATTAGCAGGTGCAGCACACACACACACAAACGTCCGGCTGACAAACAGTCACTCCGGACTGCGTTGCAGGTTTGGAAGAACAGTGGGGCAGGGTCTGTGAACAGTCTACGCTAATCATTTCCCTCGCACTTCCTAATTCAGCCGGGGATGAAAACTGTGCAACGAGCTATTGCTCATCCACCGGATAAGAAAAGAAAATTTGTTAAGATATGTATTTGTCCCCTAAATCACTCTTACTTATTCGAAATATGGAATAGAAATCGTAGTTCATTTCAGCTTGCGTAACTACTGCCCCAGCACGCCACTGTGCCAATTTCCGTTAACCCATCGGAGAGGGAGAGAGTAGGAGTAAACAAATATTTGCGAGGATATTACCGTACCACTGTGATGGGACATGAGAAAAATCGATGTGCCACTACTTTTGACACAAAACAAATTACCCGGCTTCATGTGAGTAACGGAAGATTTGGTTCAATTTCAAAGGGGGAATTCGTCGTGTATATGTCAAATAATGCGTGACATATATATGACGAATTTCCCCTTATAAATTGAACCAAATCCTCCATTACTCACATGAAACCGGGTAATTTGTTTGTGTGTCAAAAGTAGTGCCACATCGATTTTTCTCACGTGAAATAAGTAATCAGGTTGTGCAATTTTCCAATCCAGTCATAACCCCGGAGGCTAGTGCTGAGATGAGCGAGTTCTGTGGCCTGCAACAAGCTCGCAAAGATGGGTTGTGATATATCGTGTAAATGGAAGGTAGAAAACGGTCTGACCAGCTGCCCGGTTGCCAAGTGGGTAGCATATCTGCGTTCTACCCATGAGGTCTCGGGTTCGATCCCCAGTTGGGTCGATGGATTCTTACTGCTGATGAGACCCAATCAGGTCGAAACAGCTGTTCAGTGCTTCCGAACTTTTCAGTTCACGCTTCATTCGACGTATACACGACGAATTTTCCCTTTAAAATTACCCGGTATTGCTAAGTTTTGATGAAACGTATACGGATAGCTCCAAATGAGCCGCCATATGACCATGTTCATTGAAGATGGTTCTCAAACGTCGACATCTTTGTCCTCTGATTGTAATGATTAAACCCCTGTTTTTTTATAGTACTTAGAAAAAACTCATATTTTCATGTTTGCAACCGATTGGATGCAGCAGCCAGTTGACCAATTTTACAGATAGGTATGCCAAAGCGCATACCAGAAACACAGTTGTTAGTAACTGATCACAAATATCCTGATAACGATGTATCCAATCAATAAATCTGGCGTCGAAACGTTTGGAATCAAAAATCATAACCAAAACAGTTTCATCAGTAACAAATCGGAGCAAATATTAAAGGATTTGGAGAACAAATTTAAATGTTTTTTATAAACCATAAACACATATATGATCCCAGTAAAACCAGTATAGAAGAGTGCAAGTGATCGCTAATTTAAGAACTGTTTTTGGAGGTCGGCTTGTTTCCTGAGCCTATATACATAAAAAGTGAGTTTTGAAACTTTTGTAAAAATACTTTCAGTATTAGCAGACTGGGCAAGTTTGTGAGCGAGAGTGCGTCACCAAATTAGTTGACGAAGTCAGATTTGGAAAAGTTCTGGCTATTGGAAACATGATCATAGAGCCTATTCCACACAGTTGGACAAAGGGGATCAGTCTTGCGATTGAGAATAATATCAACATACTTCTTGATGTTAAGCTCAAGGGAGCCTCAGTATGGTCGGGAGTGGGTGTCTAGGGTTGCCGGTGGTCACCCTTCCCTTGTACCTCGCGAAGTGCTCCCGTACGATCAAGCGTCTCACAGCCTCTGCTGAAGAAGCCCTAATCACTGCCTTCTCGTGGCGGAGCTGTTTTTCCACCAAACTGAGAAGACGACAAGCCGACATATGGGGCTATAACCGGGTTAGTGGACCACTGATAGATTACCTAAGGGAAATGGGCCGGAAACCCAGATTCCAAACCAACCAAGAACAGGCGTACGAACCACACCCACAATTTTTCGGTTGTGGTAATGGTCACCGGCTCAATTGGGCACCTTGGACGTGTGACCCCGTCCGAAGGATGAGTGATCGGATGAACTGGACACCGCCCCGCCACCTTGCGGGTCAGGCTTTGGCTAGCCAAGCCTCTGTTTGTGGATTCCTCAAAAAGATTCATCTGCCTTGGCCTGGCAACCTGGCAGTATTCCGCTCACATACAAATCCTGGAACGTCTTTCATTTTATAAAGATTAGTGTACCATGATTTAGCACACAGTCTGGATTCAGAGGTGTGTGAAAATACAACTAAATATCAAGGAAGTGGGACGAGGTTCAAATCACCCAATCGGAATACGGTCTCGACTGCCCTAAGTCAACGATACCCGTGACTCAGGGAGTGACAGTCATCTTCTGAGCTCAGTAGATGCGTGTTACGATTCATTTGGCCGGTTAACGCGCCGAGCTGAGACGCAGTTTCCGAGGTTAGGACCATTTTGAATAGTGAGGCTAGTCCCGGGTTCGGTTAAGTTATTAAAGGGCTTACACACTCAATCAAATGGCTGCCGATGTTTCATATTTAGTCTTTTTTGTCGTTTTCCATTTACTTTATTTTCTATCTATTCCGCATTGATGTTGCCTGTTTTCTTAAAATACATACTTTTTTATCTTTATTCCATTTATTATTTGGTTTTGCTTATTGATGGCGACCAGAACACAAGCAGTCAAAATTTTTCGTACTTCCACATTCCTTGTTCCCTCATCTGTTTCTAACATGTCAACCAAACCAATGCAGCAAACACACATATTCCCGCTTCTTCATCAAGTCGTCCTGATTGGACATTGATCGGCAGGGTGACAGAAAAAGGTGAGACCGTTCTGTTCAAGGAGAAATTCCTCGATTGGCCAGATGCATCCCGCATGAGACTTCAATTGCATGGATCACACAAACATCGCAATAAAGTAAGAACCAGTTTAGATGTACTAGCCTCTGCCTTTGATTCTTTCTGTCAGAAAATTTTCTAAGGCCACATGATCAAGTCCGGTTGTGCTATATGCAACAGTAGCTTCATAGAGTTATATTTCATCCAATTCTTACTACTAGATTTGGTGCGGGTGTGACAATTTCCTGTGGAGTGATTCTGACTTTCTTTTGAATCCACCAGTCTATATTCCTTTGTAATGTCATGTGACGTCTATTGATTTTGATCATTTTCAACACAGTATGTATAGGACAACTTCGACCGAGATGGGTACATCCGCATGCACCATTATGTGTCGTAGATGGGTGATGTCTGTTAGCTGTGAAGTGCTGCGCCTGATGAGACTTTGTACGTACGTATTTGAACCAAGGCAATATTTTGTTAATATCCGGTGATCTTCGTAAAAGAGGATTCCTTTTTCTATATATTTGACACGATCAGTCAACAAAGCCGCGATACTATTTATCATGCATAGAGACATTCAACGCAATAAACCTCAACCCCCCGTGAAATTTACATAGAGTTTGTTCGGTTCCGGCTAGTATCAGTGTGTTTTCAAGAACAACGATGATCCATTATGAAGTCCGATCCTATTTTGGGAACCATATGATTGAATGCAGACGATGATTAGTTGTTTCCATTATCTAAAATGTTTTATGACTTGTGCCAGAAACACAGCAAAATGAAAGACGTCTATCCTTAGATCGTATTGCACCCAGTCTTGACTCGCGGTAATCAGGCACAGGTTTCCCGTTTGAAAGCGATTCACCCACGTGCCTGATTTTTAATTCCCATTATATACGGTGCAGAGACTTGGCCATTACGACGAAATGATAAAAATAGAATGTCTAGGTTCGAACACCGCTGTCTACGCCGTATCGCACGAGTCTGGTGGAGAAACCGGACGAGCAATGCTGAGGTTAGGCGCAGAGCTTTAAGTAAATGCGGTCGCCCACTGGAGCAAGTGGTCGACCACCATAGATTACGTTGGTTAGGACATGTGGTACGCATGTCACCAGATAGGTTGCCACGGTGAGCGATGTTCGCCGAGGTAAGTAGTGGGTGAAAGAAAGCCAAGGGTGGTCAAGCTTAGATCTGGTACGAGGGCATGAAAACCCTAACCAGGGAACTAGGTCATATAGGTCCCGTTAGGCTCCGTGGCTGCGGACCTCGGGATGATCGTAACCGATGGCTAGAGACACTGAGTGATATGGCTGAGTGTCGTAAACAGTGGCGTTCGTGCATCTTCGCAATTTCTTCGCAATCTGAGACCACTTAAATTCTCCATTTTCTGTTCGACTGTACTGTTAACCTTCCGGACTTTCTCCTATTCTTCATCCAAATGGGCAGTCAAAAACAGCAACCAAAACCGCCGCACGATGGTGCATGTTTTATAGTTAAACAAACTGAACTGAACTGAAATCGAACACTAACCACAAGAAAAAATCAGAACAATTTCATTTATCGGTCGATTAGCATAATTCTTATATCAAGCTATCGCATCGATGAATATTTCTATTTTTTTTAATCAAAATAACTATAAAAGGATGATAGTAATTGTCCAATAGTAATGATGTGTCTAGATTGTATTGGTAACAGCGGTAGCTCTCCTTTTCATCCGTCGAGCATCAGCAGTCGCTCGCCACTTGATTAGAAGCAATTAAAGAGTCAACCCATCCGAAGTATTTCTAGTCATGTTACGTTGTTGCGTTGCACGTTAAATACGGATATCGGAATCTTGATCGATCTATTGTGTTCAAAATGCTTGAGGGAGATTCTCAACCTGAAATACCGCCGCTGTTAATGAAACAGTTTTACTCATCTATCGTCCCCTGTCTCATCTCATTGAACCGCAAGGGCGTCGCTGTAAACCGGTACTTCGAGATAAAATAATGAATTCCGATTCCTCTATATACTGCTATAACTGTTGGACTGAAAACGTATTTGTAGGACTCTTCATTTTCTCTCTGCTTTCAATTTTTAAATTAGTATTTGACATTTGAGACTTATTTGCTTAGGACTAACCTTGACTCGTTGTGTTCCTTTACGAACTGTCTCCTCTGCTAATGTCTCACCACGCAACTTGTCCCCGCGTTTTGAACAGCTGTCCAGCGGAGCTGGCTTTAGAGTTGCGGCATGTGATTGAAGTGACGCAAACTGAGGATAAGCTGGGTCCGGGAGAGCTTATCTTTTTGCTCAACACCGAAGATAATGCGTCTTCTCCACTGTGCCTCCAACCAAATCCCAGTGAGTGCCAATCATTTTTAGAATGAATCTCCTTCATACCCTGATTGTTTTTGTTGCTTTTGCCATCGTTGTTTTTCTTCGTGATTCAGTACCGATTGTTTTCACTTGCTCTCACATTCCAACTGCAGACCTTATCGTTCGTTAGGCTGTAACCGCATTTACTCCAATGAAAACGACCAATGCATTTCTCTTGTGCATTATCCGGACAGTACGCGAGTAATTTTGTTCTGATACAGCAGGTCTAAAATACGTTAGTACCAGCACATCTTTATTGTTTAGCATTATTTGTTCGCTTTAAGCCCTTGTACTTGATATCACCAATGATTTTTATCGGCTGAAATCTATCGTATACTAATGCGCTTCTTATCCTCTTGCACCCTTCTAATGCTTTCCATAGCACGTTTTCCATTCATTGCAATACAGAGAATAGTAAACTGCCACAAAATAGCTTTGATCCATTTCCTTGATACCAATCGGTAGGCCTGATTGGCTTTCTGCACCTTCCATGTCACTGAAATTTACACGGGTGTATTTTCTCTACTTGTATTTCCAATAGGTTTAATGCTAAACGCAAGAAATTTTGGTTGCAAGGTTTTTGATGAAATTCTTAATTGACTATAAGATAATTATTGATTTGACCTTTTGTTATTTGGTATTTAAATTAATAGAGAATCGTTATCGCGGTTTTATCTGGGCTTCATTCAGTCTTGCACCTGAGTGTTTTCGCCCTATTTGAGAGCACACGATTTCTGATCAGATATTGTGGCTTTCTAGAACAACGATTGAAGGAAACGACGAAATACGAACTTCGAAAATTTTAGCAGGGCGTTCGCGTGTGTTAATGGGGGAGTTGCCAAAGAACTGGAACGTGAAGTATGACTTAAATATGTAGGTTGAATAGTTTTTGTCAAAAAGGGGAATGAAAAAATTATTTGTGAAATTTGTGAAGGGTTAGAAAATCTATTTTGATTTATCTCACGTTTTGCCTTCTTGTTAAATAATGGGTCATTCGAGAATTTCATAATTAATTAGTTAAATTCGAAAAGATACACTGCATTCGTCTTTTACTTTTTAAGTTCATTGGAGAGAAAAATCAGTTGAATACTGCGTTTCTTTTTTCCATTCATTATCGAACTGTAAGCATGCGCTCACCTTTTCTACCTGCATCCTGTACAGATCCCGATCAGCTTGTTATTTGGCACCTTAGTTCCCAGACGGGTTCAACAATCCAAACTAGAAGGCTGTCTTACACCCTACAACCAGACCCGTCCATGGTGACAGGTAATGGTTCTCCAGGGAAGTTGCCATCGGTGAACAGCAGACAAACCCGTGATCAAGAAACCAATGGTCCCGAGTTAGAAGCGTTGGCCATAGCCAAAGCTGTAGCTGAACGTCTCCGTGCGTCTAATGATGCGGCGAATGCGCAGTTGAAGCACTCTATTGCCCAATCAGGATTTCCGTTCCTTCTAAGTGAATTGTATTCAGCCAACCAGCCAGGTAAGCGCATCAGCTCGAATTGGCCACATATGATGCATACAGACCGGCTTATCGTTTTCGAAAATCAGTAAATGAACTCGTTCGCATGAACAGACGAAGCACTTAACCGCTCGTAAACGAAGCGTCTTTTTTCAGTGTACCTCAGTCCACCTCTTTCGTTTTTAATTGGCCACTAAACAACTGATAACATCTGAGCCTCTCAGCATTAGATAATAGAAAACAAATAAGCCGTTTCTACCACAATTTCCTGAGCAAAACTGAAGTATAGTATTTTCGTATCAATCGGATTGATGTATCCATCGAACTCTCAGTTTAATTGTTATCTTTGTAGAATTGACTGCCACTAAATGAATGTTCTGTGCTTCATTTGTTTGTGACATGTCCGATTCGGTCGAAAAGTTTTGTTGGTGTGCGGTATACAAGACTAATTGTATTAGGCGTTATTCATAAAAAACCTGTAAGCAGGTCCTTCGGGGTTTTTATGTGTAGTCTTTAGGATATGTGTACTTGTTTCAGTGTATGTAGTCTTTGACCCAATTGGCTTTCAGTTGGTGTATTTGAGACTTCCAACCATCAAGTGATTGCGGTTTCTTCTTTGAATAATGTTTGCGCTTGTTTTACACGAAGTTAAAGTCACATTTGGTTTTCAATTTAAACACACACGATTTTCCACCGTCATTGATCTGCAGCTCTNCTATTCCTTGTGCTGAATGGTCGACAAGCGGTCTATTTGTGGCAGGGTTGGTGGCCCACAAAACGTCGCTCTCTGGATACAAACGGATCTTTTGTACTTCGCTCTCCGAACGGGTCACGATCGTCCTTTTATTCGACCATCTCATCTACTTCGTCTATCGGNGATCGTGGTGATATCGGTTCACAGACCGACGATTCTATCGAAGCACTGAGCCCCGGTTCCGCCCGATCTAGATTCTATGCGCTCCGATTTGCTGCACTGAAAACCGCCAACGCTCTTGCCACAAAGCGTAATGTCTCCAGTCCGGTTTCTATGTTTGTACTCGTTATTTTATAATCGTTGCTAATCATCCCTTTTTAAGATATCCTTTATTCAGATATGTATACCTATCTGACTACACATCATCAGCAAGAAGCGGTGACGGACAGATTCAAAGGAAAATCTAAATACATTGACATATGTACTCCATTTTCGTTAGACGCAATGACGCAGTCCAGTTTTGATAGCCGTCTGCATAAGCCTGGAATTATCTGATAAGCAAGTGATGGATAAAAAAAAACACTATAACTCATACAAAAGCAGTAAATCCACAATACACGACAAATGGTCTATTAGTGCGTGTTAAAAAGCAATTGTTACTCACCCTCGTCCTAAGTTCACAGCGTTCTCCAGGCGAACTGGCGGTGGAAAAGCGATAGAATTGGTCACATACTGACGTAGCAGACGGTAATGAAACGAATAAAAATGCACAATCTAGGCAAGTAGCCAATTTCGGCGAATTCATTCCCCGATCGGTACAATCAAATTTAGGTGAAACTAATCCACTCTAAGGGTAAACACAAAGCGCGATAAGTCGCGTGACAGTGAATCCGAACCCATTCCCAATTGATGCGGTGCTTGGAGTTCGTAATCAACATGACTTATGTTATAACATTGTCACAAGCGATTTTGTTTTCCTCTGACCAGGGGAGTTTGAGTGCTGACTACGCATCTGTATACTCAGTAAATACTTAAATATTTATAATTATATAAGTTCGTCCTTGAATATTATGAGAAATTTATGTGTTCTGCACTCCATGTTACTTTTCGATATAACGTTCTCTTGGTATAAGATTATTCAAAAATAGGGGGCAATCACTTTCTCTCATTGAATTGTTAATTTACTTGACGGATGTGCCGTTTTGAATTCTAAGTCAGCGTGATCGACACAAGTCTTGTTGTCAGCTCCGCAAAAGATGTCATCTATATGACGGTAATATTGTTTAAAACAACTGATATCTCTGGATAAGGTGGTTGTTTTGTGTTCATAGATTCCCAAACGAAGTAAAAATGCTAGTGATGTTCTCCACACATGTGGTTTCTCTCTTCACAAATGTTCCCTTGTTTAAAACAGTTTTCGATGCCATAACAAAGACAAACTGCATACGATGATTATCTGTCAATTCAAGCATACTCTTGGTACGACTTACGTAGGTAGAACAATAAGTTTGTTACCCCCAACGCACCAAGAACCCAACCAATACTGGGTCACATATGGCACAAGTGGTGCTGTGTTATTTAGTACAGCATTTATCGAGTCTCACCGTCATCCTCGACAGTGGTGAGGTTTCACACGTTTACAATCGCATAGGCGATTAGTATCTGTCTCACGCAGCCTGCACTGCGCGCACACCGAAAATTGATTCAAGCACTCAAACTCCCCTGGTCAGAGGAAAACAAAATCGCCTGTGCACATCAAAATGCTGTGACAGTGTTGTAACATAAGTCATGTTGATTACGAACTCCAAGCACCGCATCAATTGGGAATGGGTTCGGATTCATTATATCACGCGACTTATCGCGCTTTGTGTTTACCCTTAGAGTGGATTAGTCTCACCTAAATTTGACTGTACCGACCAGGGAATGAATTCACCGAAAATGAATGTTTCCTTACATTGTGGGCTATGAAATCTTACGCACTGAAGTATACCGTATTGTTAATTATTGATTCCCGGGCTATTGATTAGAGAGCAGGCACATTTACCTTGTGAGAGGCAACCTAGGTGATAGAATTTTCTGAACAATCGGCTTTTTTCACTCTCCTTCACCAGCTATTGGAATTTCTCTTCATAATCTGCATGTTTTTCCGATAACAATTACCGAACCAAAGCATGTCCAAACACGGATGTAAGAAGTTCCTAGCAGAACGGACTTGATCTTAACAGACCGAATTGGTGGTAAACATTAGTCTGTGAAGCTTTCGGTAATGCTCCACGGTGCTAGCTGATATTCGCTAAATGATGCACGTATCTCAACCGCAAAAGGGAATGAAAGCTTGACGTAGTATATCGTTTTACTCCAATAATTCATTATAGTCGCCTTCTAATTCAAAAATGAAAGACAACACTAGTCGCAGCAACTATAAAAGTTGTAACAAAATGTGTATTGCAAATGAATAGAATATATGTATGCAAGTTCACAAGCCAAGTTAGTCTCAAATGTTCATAACCCAAAGTTCCACTCCAGAATATTTCTGTTAAATCAAAAATAAAAGCGTACTTACCGGCAATGAGAGCAATAACAACATTGTGCATAATGTAGAATAAATCAGCAAGGAAAGTTCTGATCCTTGTCGTAGTCTTCATACTGATGTTGCTAAGCATAGTGAAAAATTGTTCACGAGCTCAAAAGATTTATGGATATCTGAGTCAAAATGTTTATTTACTAATCTGTCGTTTTGGATTGGAGAAATCGTTTTTCAGGATTCACCGATTAATAATTCGATTTACTTTTACGTGTAGGAACATGGATAGACAAATCAAACCACAAGCAACATTGGATTCGCACGCATGTAGACGACGTGTCCAACATCCTTCATGGGGATATTTGTGACTATAAGCACTTCTGTGCCTGAAAGAACATTCCGAATCTGGGATTCTTTCAGAAAAATCATGTGTTTGGCATAGACGATTCCATTATCGTGATAACCTTGAGATAGCTACGAATCGCCGAACATATTTTATTCGTTTCTCAAACAATAACAGTCTTTCTTGGCTTTGACTTATTCTGTAAACGAAAGTGTACGGTTCATGGTTTTACGAACTCAACTGAACTGAATTGAACTGTAAACGGGACAATAAATCAGTGTTGTCTCGCGTCATTCGTCCCACTGAAAACACAAATGAGTATCATCACTCGTGCGCATCAAGCAAAAAAACACGCGGAGTGAATCGAACCCTAGAAATTAGATAGGCAAAAGGAAAAAAGCAATACCCACTCAACTAACAGGCAGTTGATCGGATTGTTTTGGTTCGTGTGTTCATATGATCTGCTATCATTCGGGTTGGAAGGCTAGTTACGAAACGCGATCATTGCATCATTAGCATGTTCAAATATTATGGCTGATATGTGACAAGAAACGGTGGGGAACCTAATCAGATTAGGAGGTTGATTCCAATTTGTAACGTTGATTTTTACATTTATCCGATGGAACTTATTTTTGATGGCAACTACCGTGTGATGTCCGACAAAAAGCTGCTTTCTCTATGTCGTGGCTCGTCAGTAGTGTGTGCGTGTGTGTACTTTTTGTGTCCAATGTTGGTAATTTACATTTCACATGTGAGAAATTATTGCACACCGAACGAGTGAAATCTAAAACCTGATTCACGGTACCCCGATACCTGTAAAAAACAAATAACAAACAAGATAAACAGTACAATCTAAACTGTCATAGCCATTCACTGAATGTATTGATCATTGATTGTGTGGCTCAAAAATGGAATTTTTGGCCTCCGACCCAAAGGTCCGCAGTCCGAGTTCCTGCAAAAGCGGATCAATAAAATGCACCGCTGATGAGTTCTGTCAACGCTCTTCTTCAGCCATCACATTATTTTCCATAGCGCAGATTTGCATTGCTATTCAACTTCTCCGTTTACATTTCCGTTGCTATTTGTACCATAAAATACCTTTTGAAATCAAGAATATTGTCATAATCTCCTCCAGGGTTAATTCTTTCCACTTGTGCGATACCACGGTTTTGAGTCACCCTATACGTATGATTCAGTTAAACATAGTGAGAAACATGTTTTAGTGAGGAGTCTATACGAACTTCAAAATCATCGTCAGATTCGAAAAGTGACAATGTTCCCGATAATGGTAGTTTTGTTCCGATTGAGACAGGAAAGTGAATGATGATGATGATGATGTTGTCACTTACACTTGAACTGCTTCTCATTCATCTTTATTGATCATTTTTCTTCACTACCTTTTTATTGTATAGTCGGTGTCCGTGCCGCAGTGGTATACGCTGGTCTGGAACCCTGTGAATTTTTGGCCCTGTTTCCTCCTCATATTCGATTGCCCGAAGTCATTGCTCATTATCAACCCGAAGTAAGTCAAATCGTTTTAGCACAGATCTGCTGAAATAAACACCGTGAACACAGCAGTAAACTTTGCTAAGCCCTTGCTGAATTGTTTTCATTTCGAGGAAACTCACTATTTCAATTTCTCGTCCACGTTATCAGTTTAGTTTGTTCAGGGAGAATGTTTTTTTCCTCGGCGAACAGCGTATTTGCATACCCCGCTGTCTGTGGGTTTGTGGGATACCGATCATGCAGAATAAGTGTGAATATGTTATGCAACTATACAACCAGTAAACGTTCAAACACTTGAATACTAATTTGACCGATGAGATTGAACTGTTCTTTGTGATTGAGATTAGTGTAACTCTCGTCACTACTGCTCGAAATTATTTGTTTTTGGCCAATAGATTACGTTGGTTGGGGCATGTGTTACGCATGCCACGGTTAGCGATGTTTGCTGGGGCAGGTAGTGGGTGGAATAAAGCCAAGGATGGTCANGGGTGGAACAAAGCCAAGGATGGTCAAGCTAAGACCTGGCATGAGGGTATTAAAACCCTAACCAGGAGTCTGGGTCACATAGGTCCCGTTCGACTCCCTGGTTGGAGACCTTGGGATGATCGTAACCGATGTTAGACACACTGGGCGATATGGCTTGGTGTTGCAAACATTGGCGCTCGTGCATCCACTCATCATTCCTCCAACACCATTCTATATAAATTCTCCATCTTCCGCTTGAATTTGCTTTCAACATTCCAATCTTCATCCTGCTCTTTTATCCAAATGGGGCACCAAAAGACAGCAACCAAAACCGGCGCACGAAAGTGCATGGTTAATGTTTGTAAAAACAAACTGAAACTGGGTTTGGACGTCGCTGCATCCCTTGTGGGTGCATTGCGGGTTCTGCTCATCCTCGGCCTAACCACAGCCTTATTCCACCAGAAACGGGCAACGCGATGTAGATAACGATGTTTGTCTTCTCTCCGAACCGGTTGTTTCTGTACCATGTTACAGCACCTACCGGACTCTTGCGGCATACACTCGACCCTTAACTGGACAGTCAGGTGTCACGGCTGCGCTAAGAATGTCTCAATTTGTCAAGTACCAAGCGAACTTGATGTGTACATGCCGACATTTCATCGGAGAATCGTTCCGGAGAGATTTCATCACCCAATTGGTTAAATGTGTCGACCTTCTCCGTTGCCTCCCCAGTGTGAATGAGATTTCCAGTTGGGTAAACTCAATCGTTGAATGGTATTGCACACTTTGAAGGTGTAAAGCCCATGGTGAAGATTGTCACACTCCCACTCAAATCATCCGGAAAAGCTTGTAACAATAGTATTCCGGGCGGTCACTTATGCTTCACTCATTTTTTTTTAAACCTTTACCCATGGTTTAGCCTAGATGACTATTCGTTTACCGATTACTACAATGGGACTACAAAGGTTGTGGTTTTAGCTTGTCAGTAAGAGTGTTCTGAAAATGATCAAATGATCCACGATGGAAAACAATGCGACTAAGGCACATTGATAGCAAAGACCACAGAGCAGTACATGCTTCAATTAAAAATTGAGTCCGCGCATTCTCATATGCCAGAAATGGGAACAAAATTCAGCATGGAAATTATCGATGTAATAGATCGTTACTACAGCCGTGGGTGGTCTGAACCACAGTTTGCGGACTATGTACCCGGGAGCAAAAGTATCGCGATCCCCCATGGAATTCCCACACTCAAGTCGGTTTTAAAACGGGTTTGGTTGACATCCGGATTGGCAACCGTGGTGAGTCAGTGGTTTATCAGAATGGTGAAATAAGCTACGGTCATGCTAGCGTCAATCCAACTGACCTTGAAAGAACGAAGATTTCCAAATGGGTCAATAAAAGCCATTGCCAGACATGGCGCGACGGAACAGGCTTACTGATAACGAGGAATCCAGAACTAACGCCCCTCGTGAGATCAACAAACAGTACACATAAGGTAACCAGACCGTGTAATGGATCCCAATCACACTGTGGCACGATATTCAATACGGAAATTAGCTAAAAGCAGTCAAAACAGACTGGTTATTAGAAAAACGGTCTCGGTAAAGGTAAGGGCAGATTGGCAAGTATGAACCCGAACTGCGTGAGTCATGTATAGGAGATGAAAATGGCGGTTTAGAGTTGAACGTTCCGGTGCGAACGGTACAAAGAAACACTCGAGACGGTCCGTTGGATGAAACACGAGAAAACGCATAACTTGTTGAAATTTCCTATCGAGGCTTGTCATTCGATTGTTGCTTATATTTTTAAAAATTGTGATAACGGTGAATAAGGGAATGGAGGTATTCAAAAACGTCCAGCAGGTTGTAATACTTGTATCGCGTGATGTGTTTAAACTGAGCGTGTATCGTGCTCTGTTGTCTCGCATCGCGATCATTGCCCTTCAAAAATCCTCTCGCCCTAAGCAATTCAGCTTAATTGAAAAACTACTGAAAATGAAACTGTAGCACATTTCAATTTATTTCGAAGGTTTCATTACCAAACTATTTGTAATAAGCCTTGTTTGATAACGTTTGGTCAAAAGAATCACTGTCTAACGGGTACTTCAAAGTGCCCGATGTAATATGGCGACTGATTTTTGTTTTTCGTATCTTTGGGTACTTCGAACATATTCGGTCGGTATTCGGCTAAGCGGTTCTTGATTGCCATCCTGAACTTGCTGAAAGCACACACACATATTGGTAAGTATCCCATAAAATCCCTGTGTGTAAGGTTGGTCGCGTTATCTCAGTTCTGTATAGACCCACTGTCAAAAATAAAAACTGCTATAATACTTAGCTGTTCTGTAAAACGGTATTGGAAAATGTTTCAAGGAAACTGTTGGAACGACACCAGTTTTATCTTGGATGGCATTTTATGATTCAGGGTTCGACAAACTGAAATATAGGCCAAAATGTTACCCCGGTTTTACGCACCGTCGGTCTTCCAGTCATTTTCAAAATACCCGAGTGAAAGTGCAGCCTGACTGCTGGTACGTATCTTTGGCCTAATCGAATAACGCATTGTTACCAAGGCTGAAAAGCTATGAGGAACTATTAAATAACTGCGGGAAACATCGTAAACGTTAAATAAGCAGTACAGTATGTTCAACGAATCTCTGCTCAAACAACTTATCGCATCGAACCACACCGACATGATTTAGTTTTGTACAGGTTGAACGCAGCTGCCCAAGTGCCGGGTTTCTCCAGTTCCCTTTATCACCCTCATGGTTAGCAGTGTTATAATCCCAAAAGGCGGTGCTTGGTCGAGGATAATTGCTTATTGTCAATAACGGTCCGGATATGGTTAAATTGTCACTCATATAACAAGATATCTCATTTGGAACAAGTTTACAAAAATTATGTTTTCATATTATTCCATGTGGATAATTACAAACTCCTTGTTTCCTTCATCGAAAGTGAGCACAATTTCTTCCGTAATTCGCATGCTTTGAAATATTCTATATGAAATATTCTATTTTGCAACTGATTGAAGTCAAATGCCTGCGTACAGTTTTACGTCTTACCTACAGAACGCTTTCTGGACTATTCATTTTGAACCTATTGCAATTACCTTTTATTTATTTTCATCAATTTCTTTGTGTACGCACTTGGTGTCACCGAGTCGCACATTCGTTGTACTTCCCGTGTTGTAGTCACCGATATAGCAGAGCAGATAGAATGTGTTTTATCCTTATGAGGTAAAGAACACAGTAAAGACGATGCCAATATGGTCCACTTCACACATCGGATTCAGATTCAGTTGGCGCTATCTTGCGGTTCATTTGAAAAATCAAATCAAAAAGAAAATGCAATCTGTTGGAAATCGAATCAAGTTTGACAGCAGACATCTTTTAGTATGAGAAAAGTGAACGATTTGGGCACAGTGATTACCGAAATGATTATTGTGTGTGAGAGGGCGTGAGTATGAGATCTGGTACAGCCAAAAAAACCTAGGTTCGTATCTGTATCATTGCTCGTTTTGGTTTATCGATATTAAAAACTAATTCGGAGTTTAGCTGTCGTGTGTGAACCTTCTGAATCAGCATTTTGAGATCCCAAGACATTTATGAAGAAACTTGTAACCGTTTCTTTTCGTAAGGTTCATCGGTAAAACTCTTCAACTGTAACCCAAAGAAACGCTTATCTGGTATATTTTTAGGTTTTTATTTTCGGTTGGGTATTTCGTTTTTGATAATATTAAAGAATGATCCCAACAATTTACTTTCAGAGGCGACAGAAGTTTTCCGAGCGGAAATATTTGATATATACCACACCAGTCTTCTATAACATTCAGGCATATGCCCCAACGGATGCTTGACAATAACTTTTGATTCGCACAGAAAATTCTGTTCCTTACTTTGGACTATAGCTTGCTCAACGGCTTACAACTATTGCAGGCTGCCGAAGAGGCAGCGAAATTCCACCTTACCTTCGACGACAGATGAAAGCATCGAAAGTAGTTTTTTAGCCGTTATCTGTCTAGGTTTAAAAGAATTCATCGTGCAGTGCACCGCTCGCATTGGAGCATTGATTTGTGGTCCGTGGATCATTTATCTTTTAGTAGCCCGGTTTCGATCCATCCAGCAGTCATGACAATGTCACCACCACACCGAGAGCAAAGCTTTGACAACCGAATAAAAGCTATCATCTACGGACGAACAGTTCAATACTTGACTGGAAACCAATTATACAAGTGTTGTAAAGCCGGATGGTTGTAATCATGTTCTCGTGACAGTACCACCAGGAAACGTTGTTGCTAGTCCTAGTTCTACAAGAACGGGTCTCCAGAGTTTGCTTGACGCGGACCCAGGTTGACCCTAACTGGAAACTGTTCTTAGTTAAACGAAAACACTGCAACAACAGAGTGGTGATCAAAAAATGAAAACATCAATGTGGCCCGCATTGACCTCGAGAATTGCTTCTCATTAGTGAATGCTTTGCGTTACAGAGATGTGTGAACAAAATGACTCGCTTAGCTCTCTGTATGTGCCGTACAATGTCACATGTGTCTGACAGGTAGATAAACAGTACAACGCAGTTGATGTAGATTTGTTCGCCTGACTTATACGACAAGCAGTAAAGCACTGTAAATATAGATTCCTGTGTTCCAAATATGCGACACTTTCTGTTAACAACTTACAAAAGAATAGCGCTGGTGCACGTAGGCTGTTTTTTATTTTACTTTTCATTTGACTTTTTCGGTTTTAACTAATAGGGATAGCACAAACAAAACTATTTCTCGTTCCTTCACAAACTGAAATCTCCAATTTTTAACACAACAGACCAAATGATTTTTCGAGTGTATCGAAAAATCGATGCACCATGTGTTGTTTTTATTGGGAATGTGATGGGCTGAATGATTCGTTGTCTGACATACTCACTCCCATTATCAGATGGGGTCAAGTGGCACTGTGACCTTTGTCATGATTACGTGTTGGGGATGTTAGGGTAGTCCAATCGATATCGATTCCGTCATTTGTGTTGACACATACAGAGTGGGTGTTAATTGCCAAAGCTTCGGCATACGAGCGTTCAGTGCATGTTCGAGATCTAAGTTGGAGTATTTTTGAGTTGTCGTAGTCTATGGTGTGACCGGCTATAGTGTGAAGAGCGATCGCTGAGTCTCTTTCTAGTTTTGCCAGAGTTTGCTTTGTCCGTAGATCGGGGTTTCTCTTTTCTCCTGTGTTCGGTTATCCTTGTCTTCAGTTGTCTACTGGTCTGCCCAATGTATTCTGCGAGGCATTCTTTACAATTGATTTTGTAAATGCAGTTTTTTTGATCTTGCAATTCCGTTGACTTGTGATCCTTTCCTCTGAGTCATTTCATTGTAAAAGGTTGAAAAAGGTTACCTACCGTAACCGAAGCATCGGCGAGTATCATTCTCTACCGACATCGCTGTGTTATTATCAATATAACAGTCACAATGAAATTTCCAATCTTTACTGACCTAGGTAGCTTCACTGGACCACAATCAGATTGTTCATCATGGTTTGAACGGTGGTTCAATGAGTAAGAAATCACCAATCAAACTAAATCAAGTCAAGGAACGGTTTATGAAGATGAATACTCCGAAATTGGATTGTGAATTATCTACCAGCAACTATATCTATCCAACAACTAAAGTAACCGCCGTTTGCCAAACTGTATCATTTGGTGTGAATTAACTATTTTCACACATATATGGACTAACTGGATGAACATACTCATTCTTAAACATGTAGAACAATAATGCTATACATAGCAGAAGCGAGAACCAACTAAAGTCGATAACAACGATGAAACTCCGTGGGTTTGGGTATTTTATACCGTGTGCTTTTCTCGTTATTGTCTCTGTTTGTTTATACTTCCGTTTTGTTGGTCGGTTAGGCCTCGTAATCCATTCGTGTCCACTGCTGCACCTAACAAAACTCATGTGATTAGTTCAGATAGCAATGAACATCACGTTATCACGCTCTGATTTTGACCACGGCCCTTGCAGTATCCTTAACCAGAAACAGATAAATCAAATTTCTTTCAAAGCCTAAACCCAATTTTTTGGACGAAATCGAATGATTTGGGGAAGGACAGTGGACTGATGACCACTTTAACACTGTTCTCTCGGCTGAACCTCAATAGGTTGTCACATATCGGCGCTACGCGATACATCGTAGAACACTGTCATCCACAAACTAAAATCCACCTTTCGAAAACACCGTCTATTTGGGCCGGATGCGCAAATATTCTCCGCGGGAGGCCATCAAACTACGGCAACCAACAATAATCCTAGTTTAAGGTCAGAGGTGTATCCGAGATAGAAAGCGATTAGTTATTGCATCGAATTAAAAAATGAGTCTTGGAGATTACCAATCCCATTTCATCGGGTACGTGACACTCGGCTGCCCTTGCAGCTTTTGATACCATATTACGAATAAGATCGACTAAAGAAATTCTTTTCAAACTAGGGGTGCTAGCACAAACCATTCCTATAAATAGCCACTAAAAGGTGGTGAATAATGATTTCCATTGCCATTTTGGTTCACTTATTCAAATAATCCGATTTTCAGTGGTTACATCACTAAATCTATTAACCTCGTCATGAACGTTTTCGTCTGGTCACTTTTGAGGTTACCCTTTTGTGGTGATAAGATCTCGTTGAACTGAGAACGATGTGAGTCGGTCTGATCTTCCCCTCCTCCTGCTCACCTACGTAATTTTAACCAAGCACTCATGACCTTTGACCGGACGACGAGATAATCTTCCTATCCACCGATTTCTCGCATCCCCTATACAGGCTGATGACTCAATCACTAACTTTAAACGGAATAAATAATGAAATAAATGGAATCCACCAGTTAACATGTCAACTGATTGCCGCAACAGGTTTTCCTTAGAACTCACTGGAATCCACCGAATGAACTTCTAAGTCTGGGTTAATTGTTCAAATTGTACTGTTTGACCGATGTTTTAGTAGTGTCAGATAAAGTGGATATCCACGATCCGAGTTCATACATCATATCGAGTTTCTTTCTATCACGTACAGTACAATGACAGATGTTTCATCAAGTAAGTAGGCGACATGCAGAGTAGGCTTCGTCAGATTCCATGACACTTTCCTTAGCTTTTGCTCATTTCAGTCAACTCTCTGTCACAGTGAATGCTCGTTAAAAGGTTTTTCTGTTCTGGTACCGTAGGGGTAATTTCGGAAATCCTGATTTTACACACGCCATTTCAAGTTAGATACAAAATACATGAAGGAATAATCACACGCATGCGTGCATACTCAGATTGATGTGGTGAGTCGGTTGTGTAAGTTAAAACTCCAGGGATGGAACTTCAGTGTCTCGGTATATTAAGTTTTGCATTACTATTTCGCTTACGGTTTCTGCTTATTGGATAGCATCTTACTACTACAAGATACATTGCGCCCTCTGCAAATCTACTGTCGATTAACCTTTAGAACTAGTACATTTTGAGAACACCCAAGGTACGAACGACAATTCTTCTATTCAAAAAATAGGCATAAATGAACTGGTTTTTCGTCACACGTCAAAATGTGCACAACCTTCCTATACCGAGAGATGGGAACCACCTGGGCATATTATCTCACGATGCACACTAGAACAGAATTGTAAACAACGCCATAAAGATCTGGTTACGATCGGGCGATCACGGTTAGATAGATTGGGGTTTATGAGGAGATTGTGGTTTATAGTGACTGTGTTCCCGAAATTAACCGCGGCTTCAGTCATTAAATAACCCTCACATCTTTTGCTTAACTGCACCATTAGAAATCCGTGTGATCTGAGGTATAGTAAAATAGTAAATAGTAAAATATCAAAACTGTGTTCGAAGAGGGCACTGTTTGAATGCAAATAGTTCATCCATATCCTGCTACCGTTCCGAACATTTCTATGCACCATACAACAACAGCACCAGTTCAACAGCTGCAACATACACTCAGCTCTTCCCATTTCAACCGATGCAAAGGAATAGTCTGCCAATTTACAAATAACCAGCCCGTCACTCGACCACTATATAAATAATAAACTGTCTAAATTTCTTCATCATCCCGTTGTACAAAGCATACACTTTTGGACTCATGTGGCCGACTGAATCGCGGTCACGCAAAACAACGAATCACATATCGCTCCATCAATACGATGCTCTTCGGGATGGTTCACTTGTTGATTCGCTAAAAAGACATCAGAGTCTCATACTCCCTGTATTAGCCGTTTGTCATCCACAGTCTCCTGTCAACTGAACCGTTTTCTCTCATTCCCTTCACCCATCCTCTCCAGGAAGGCAAACTGGTCGGTCAAATGGATAATGTGAATGATCTGTTGGCTTCCAGTCAACAACAATCGTACACACTGTACGAGCTACAACAACGTCCACTTCCGCCGGAGCTGAATGCAACCTGTTTGGAAATCTATTTGGACAAGGAATCGTTTGAAGTAAGTAGCGCTCAGGTTATCTATCCAGTCCGTTAAAGTCAGCCTTCTCCTCTGAGTTGTTCAATCCGGTCCCCACTGACGCATCGAAATTCCACGGAATGTATTTAGGTTTCGCCACTTAGTCTCAAGTACCGTATCCATTCCTCTCTGTAATCCATTTGCCATTTCGATGAATGTGGTAAAATTGTTCTGACCTTATCAAATGAACCAACATGTCCAACTGGATATTCTTCGGTTGCTTTCAGATGCAACAAGACTTCCCTTGCAACCTTATCTACACATTTTGACCACATCCCACATTCTGTTTAAGTCAATGGTTCATTCCGACATTTTTGTAGGTAGAAAATGTTAAAAGAAAGTCCAATCAAGCCAGAGTAACGTCATCAAATAAGTCCTAAGTGCGTGGCCCACGTACAACACAAGAACAATGTAGGTCAGTTTATAATATACCGTAAAACAAAAAGCGACAACTGCCTTATTTCAAGTTATACAATCCCTTAAAACCCAGTAGAAAAACGTAGTTAAATTGATTTGAAACACTTTTGCATGACGCAAACAGATGCGCTCCTAGATAGACTATGTCTAAAGAGATGGAACCGCGCCATCACCATGTGTCTAATATGATTATACTGAGGGGAATTCAAATCACACATAAAAGATGCTTGTGAACCGTCCGCCAATTCGTGGTAGTTTTTGTTGAATAGGTTTTTCCGTACAAAATCGATCATGCAAATGCAGAAACATCAACTGAAATAATTATCCCAATAACCTCCGGTACAGCTGTCACGCAGAAATACTATACTGAAGTTGTGGCCGATCATGATGGGCATGTTATAAAGCTGTACACATATTGATCGCTGATGTACTTTCGTAAACTGCCTTATCTATGTCCTTTCAACAGTTCACAGGGTTTCGGTTAATCATTGATGAAAATAGGGATATCTTTACTTCCTTTTTATTCACGGAATGTGTATCAGTGCAGTTAACTATCATGGTGATCATGGATAACCAAAGACTGCTTAGGAACATACTAAATTGGAATGGGCGCTACTGAGGGGATTCGGACAGAAATAGTTCAGGATCTCAGTCATGGTCACCTTAACTGTTTGACCACCGCCGCAGTGACCCATCCTTCTTCATAGTATTTGGTACGTAGTAAATGTTATCAGTTTCCAGTAGGATGGCAACGGATAAAACATGTACTTCTTCAGGTATACATGGTCACTGATGGAGGGAAATTTAACTTCATTTGTATCGTTTCATACAACTGGCACATCAGTCAAAAGCCTGATTAAAGGTTTCTCATGCTTACACTGTTGGGGAAAATGTAAAACCTTTCGCTAACTCAGTATAGTTTTCAATCTGATTACATCTTGTGATACAACATATGAAGCAGTGGATCTGATTGTCACGGGATCCCGTTGTTTGGTTACTGATGTTCTAAATTGTCCCACAGGTGGGCAGCAGAGAGACCAGCTCCCAAATATGATTGTAAATGTAACTATAGTATAATGGCCTCCAATAGCTTATGACAGTAATTAATTAATTTGACGAGCAATACACGCAATCAACTGCTATTCTGGTGATACGGTGCGAGAACTGTCGATTTTGTGTATTATTCCAGTCTAAATGTGAACTGTAGATTGCCTACCTTTTTCATAAACCGCTATCTTAAGCATAAGTGAAATCCATTTTGTTGTTAATTGCTTTGCAGCATTATTCATTGTTCCTTTTTCAATTGCCTGGTTTCGATCTATTCGACAGAACTGTTACTAACAACATTAATCCGTATTACGGTAGACGTGTAGTCTGATTGTTATTTTTCTCCTCACAAGTTCACTTTGTCTATACAGCACACAAATCACCGATTGAAAATCTGCCGAGGTGCAATTCTCGGTTCAGATGAGAGAATACAATTCGAGAGTCTAGATGGGATCCGAAACCCAAGGGTACCCAGTTGAAACCCACCCACAATCGGGGATAACTTTGAGCAATTGAATTTTCATCATCACTGTCGGATACAGTACCGTTTACTGTTTCGACCTATAAACATTGACAGTACGATTGTTCACTGTGGTCCGTTTGACAATTTGTGATGTAGTCACACGTCTTACAAAACTGCTATATTCTCAATAACTCAAATAGCTCACAGTACATTTGTACGTGCATAACTAGCCCCGGGGTTAGCACCTAATAATGACAAAAATCTTTTCAAACTAATATTCCGAGAGAAAACAATCAGATCGGAACCTGAACAGAATTTGTACACTACCTCATGCTTAATTAGTTCCGCAATTCCATGTACCAAAACAGCGTCGATCTCACGCATCACGCACTCTGCAAAACACGTGCACTGTTAGCTTTTTCTAACCACCTGGTTCCAATGTGTCGCGTTTAGGCGTCTGGTCGAAAATCACCCATACCGATTCGCACGACACAAATGTGTGTGCGCAGGCTCATCCAAACTCTGCTCAAATATGACATGGTTGCGGGACAGCAGCAGGCGCGCGCTACACATCGACAATGGAATGGCTTCATCAGCGCTCCCATCCCTCACTTACGCGCACACTTGCTCTTGTACATAAACGCACAGCCAGTGCAACGGTGCACTGGATATACCACATTTGGAGAGTGCATCGATCTGTACTTTTTCGCGTAGCTTGTCCACAGGTTGGAATGTATGTTTAATAACATAACCACATGAGTCACCCCCAAGAGAGCGAGCTGAGTGAAATAGCCGGTGACTAGGGTAGGCAGGGTTAGTGATCTCAACCGTGTTCAATGCCAAACAAGCGACTGAATAATTAGTGTGGGGAAGTGTCTGTGATGCACAAAGTTCGCTCGTTTTATGTGTTGAATACGCTTTAGTGAGTGATGGCTATAGAATACGAGTGAATTCTCAAGAATACACTTAACGATTCAACTGCCCACCATTTCTATTAATTCCTAGTATTATTATATTATATATTATATAATGTTATATTTTATTATTAGATTATTATAAAAGACTTATAAAAGACTTTTTCAGGCAACTGTGCCTACACTTCAGTCAAAAAATGAGTTCATCTTTACAATGGGATAGAAAGGAAATGAAAAGTCATATACAGCAATTGCCATATTATTATGTTTCACACACGTCTTAAGTCAGACTGTGCCAAACAAATCATGGTACAATAATTTAATTAAAAAGAAAAACGTTCCATGATTTGCATGTGGGCGGAATACTGCCAGGTTGTCCAGGCCAAGGTAGATGGATTTTCTTGGGGAATCCATAATCGGAGCCTTCGGCTAGCCAAAGCCTGACCCGAAAGTCAGAGAGGCGGTGTGTGAAAACCACAACCCATTGGGAGCCGGTGTCCAGTTCATCGGATCACTCACCCTTTGGACGGGGTCAAACGACCAAGGTGCCCAACACACCTCGATGCTCAATAGAGTTGGTAACCACTGCCACAACCGAGAGGGTGTGTGGTTCGCACCCCTCCTCATGGTTGGTTCTGAATCAGGGTTTTTAGTCAACTCCCCTAGGTGAACTATCTACCATTGGTCCATCAACCCGGTTATGGCCCGGATATCGTCTTTTCGTCCTCTCCGTTTGGTGGGAAAACACCACGAGAAGGCATTGAGTAGGGCTTCCTCAGCACAGGCTATTCGAGACGCTTGGTCGAATGGGAGCAGTTCGCGAGGTTCCAGGGTAGAGTGACAAGAATGATAAAACGTAAACAGACGTTCATCTCTGAAGCTTTAAAGTCTGTTTGCGGATCTTCACTGTGTCAGTGAGAATACGAGCCAGAGACAGAACCGCTGAGTTGCGATAAATGTTTATGAGGGAGGCTAAGCGGCGAAAGTTGGATCGGGTGGTTGCGTGAGAACGGCAAGCAGATAAATCGAAATTGAGCGGATGATTGGGGTTATCGAGTATCTTCTGAGCGAAATTCTCATATGAAAATCAGACAATTTTGTGGTTAGAATGTTTAAAGGAATAAGAGAAACACAGCTGATAATTACTAAACCGCGACGAAGAATAATGAGATTCTTTATAAGTAGTCCCGAGAAAATAACGGGCAAACAATAGAGTATGACACGGAAAATGCATTGATAAACAAAGGACCATATAGTTTCGTGTTTCACTCGAAATTGTCGTAGCTTAGATGTCTGTAAGGATAAGTGACGCAGTCTACCAACACAGACTAGCACATGAGACTACCACCGTAGATTGCTGCCTATGATGACTCCTAGGTATTTGGTGGTATGTGTTCTGGTGATCGGTACGAAATTGATGACTGAGGGTTCCAAAGGATATTCGGATCGGGAAAGACTAAAAACGCATTCGAAGCATTTAGAAGTATTCAACCGGAAACCGGATTGATTCGCACTTGTAATAAACTGTCGGAAAATGATTCTATGTCAGATTGGTTTGACATAAAACTACATCATCGGCATACTTAAAGGTGTTGGCTGGTGGGACTGAGGGTAAGTCACTGATGAAAGCTGAAAATAAGTAGGGACTGCAGAACTATTCACTAACAGTTTTGAAATAAAGCTGTTTGCTTTCGTTCTTTGAATCCTTATTGTGGAATAGTCTTTCAGCCACGACAGTAATTTGGTGGAGCAACCAAATGCCTATAACTTTCAGAGAAGAAAAGATTGTGGAACGAAATCAAAAGCGGAAGAATAAACAAGAAAAATACAACTAACCGACGTTTGATAATCATCTAAAGATTTTCAAATAAAGTGAATCATTGAAGAGACAGCATTCAAAGTGCATTTATTTGGCTTACACGCAAACTGAAGGGAGTCATTGGGAAAAGTAATGCCAGACTGTAAGCAAATGAGAATAGCACGCTCTGCAAGTTTAAGTCCAGAGGACGTGATTTCGATAGGAGGAAAGCGTTTAGATAAAATGCTAGATGAAGAGGATTTAGGAATGGGAACAATGGTGAACGGTCTCCAGGAATCCGGAATTGAACATGTGTAAATGGATGGTTTAACAAGGGACGCAAACATCTCTGCGACTGAACCAGTGCCATGTTTGACCATAGACGAAGATAGACCATCGAGGCCAACTGCGTTCGGGATTTTCGTAGTTTCAAGAAGATGATAGACCTCCTCGTGGATGACCGGGTCTACGGTGAATAGGTAATCGGTGGAGTACGGAGACCATTTGAAGGATAAATGAGTGCAGCATTAAGGCTGCCCATGTCAGTGATTTTGTTTGTTGTTCACTTTTTCTGTCCACAAAGCAATCTGATCCCTTGCCATAACCGTATTACATCTTCAGCTCTAAGAATAAAGCATTCAGTCTTTTGATCTGTGCCCTGATTTGCAGCGTAAGCTATTTGACAGTGGCTGTTTGATGCACCTTGAACGCTAGTTCTTTTTGTCTTCTAAGAACTTTTAGCCGCAAAGAGCATATTCTACCAGTGTGAACAAAAACTGTTCCTGTAGGACAGTATAAAAGGAAAATCATATTTACTGTTTCTGCAAAATCTTTAACAGAACAGGGAGATTGTTGAACGGAAAACCATGAGGAGATGATAACAAGAGATTTCCTTAGGAGATGGAGTCTGTCGGCCGAAAGATTCCGAATTTCTATGTTCATTTGTTTTGGTTGAATAAAAGTTGGGTATGCCAACCGAGAGTAAACTTTTGATCCAAGGCATAGGAGACAGTGGTCACTAGTGGAGATTGGCGCCTTCAGTTTGAGAAAATATTAGGATGGTTAGTGACAACCTTGTCCAATGCAGCATTTCCTATGGGGGGGGAGTTAGAGAGAGATCTGATAAGCCGAAGGAAAGTAAAGGTTGGGTTTGTCCATGATAAAAATCACCAACAATTAAAATTAAATTATCATCAACTAGGGGAGCAATGAAAGTAATAAATGCGTCGTGGAAAGAGCTAATTTCAACTTGTGAGTAAGGAGAGGCAATATATAGAGTGGTAATAATTGTGCTCCGATAAGGTGAAAACCTAGGTCGACATGAAACAGTTAGGCTGTCAGTATCATAACAGGAGAAAGCAAACAACGTTTCGGACTTGCCGCACCCACTGGAGTTAATGTAGGTTATTACCCCACCTCCGGACTTCTTTTTACTGCCCTTGTCTGTCTTGTGGAGAATTTGCAAAACCAGGTATGTTGATCAGCAAATCGTCTATGTTTTGGTTGAGCCACGATTCCTGTATGCTCATCACACACAAATTACAGAAGAGAAAATGAGAAAAATTTGAAGGCACGATACACTTTAGATCGAACAAAGAAGTATGGTTCCTGAAAGAAACTGGTGTTTTAGTGCTAAAGAAACAGAGCTGTGTGATAATTGATCACTCTGATCAGCATAGGTTTTCTTTTGTGAGAGAGGGATAAATATCACTCTCCACCTAATGAATGAAGATAATACATATGGTTAGAATCTGAACGAGTTTTCTAATAGTGGAGCAATAATATATATAAGTAAGTCATAAAATGGTATGCAACCGAACTAGAAGATGGTTTCCATAAGTTGGTGAACTAATTTCTAGTCATTATCACAGAGTTTCTACAAGAAGATCTGAATTCCATGATGTCGCTTTCATTCCCTTGATAGAACGCGTTCGCCATGACCAAGGAGGAGTTCGATCAGCTACCAAAATGGAAGAAAGCCGAAATGAAAAAGCACCTGGGTCTGTTTTGAATCCAAACAGCGCCAAATCACTCGAGCAATCTCTATGACGTTCACTTGGATCGGGATTTTGTCTCTCGCTTTCAAACCTCACTCCACGGACAGCGTTTTCACCAAAAAGCATTTCTCATAGCTTTGGGTTTAATGTTACTTTTATTATTATCAGATGATGCATGAATCAGCTGTGCATGTCCAGTCTATCTATCCGGGTTACGATCGTTTAACGAGCTCGCTTCGCACTTAAACGTGGTAACTATCGCTGCGGTGGTCTAATCCAGATTGTTGAAAATCTGTGTACAATTATTTTTCTAGCTCGAACGTGCAGCGTTCGGACGTTCCGTGCCTTGCACCTGCACTTGCACCTTTTCCTCATCCTCAACCTGTCCTCACCTCGCCCTTTCCTGTCAGCAGCCTAATATACCAATTATCAGCACTCGGTCACTACATCACGTTAACTGATTAGGCAGTGCGTCCAGTCAGCGCGTAGTTCCATCCATCTGCGTGAAAATCGCACACGCACGCACACACATATACACGAAGGCAAAGGCACCCAAATCCCAAGCTTTGTTTTATTGATCAGATCTCCGACTCGGACTAACTCTCCTCCTTTTACGAGGGATACGCCTTTGAGGTATCTGGTCTTTCTTTTTCTCTTTTACACAAAAAACAGGCACAACAGTTTGTGCGTTTTGAAAACGAGAATGTATTTCCAACGTTTCCATCTACATATTCATCGATAATTTCATTTAAATGACTTTGACTTCGATCTCAATACTGCCCTTAACAACCAATACCCACGCTAAATTCGCCATTAATAATGAATATAGAAAACATAATTGCGTAACTTTTTTTCACATCATTACCCGCTTATATCTTCCTACCATGCGCTCCCACACTCCCTTGACTCCTGCTGTCCCTGTCCATTTCACCTGCATCCAACCGCCAAACCCACCCACCCCTATCTGAACAGCAAATCTATCGCCTGGTCTCACACGCTCATTCATCCAGTAACTTCTAATTTCTTACTTCGACCTGTCCTTTCGGTTTGCTCCCCCAAACCGCGGAGAGAGGTTTGACCCTCTTCCCCGGCGGCCCATTGGTGTGTACACGCTCTGTCATCCCTCTTGCGATGTCTGTTTCGCAATTTCCGGATTCAAATGAATCTGTACAACCAAAACCGGGACCACCAAGTCAGTTGTTCCCTTTTGTATCTGATGTGAATTGGCAGGCCTAAGGGTCACGTAAGATGTGGGGATTTTCAAGGAATTCTCTCGATATTTTACCGTCCAATCTGGTTTAAACGAACTGGTAATGAAAAAGCCGTTAGTGCGAATCCTGGACTGACAGGTGAATATATATATATATATATATATATTCAATAAACTTATGTTCGGCCTAAGCTGATGTTGAATGAATGTGACGGTGTGCAAAATGTGCGGTTGACAACAAACTACAAAGTCACAATAAATGAATAGGGAAAAGCAGGGAAAAATGTGAACTGTACACAATATGAAAGATATTAGTCGAAAAATGAATAAAACAGGTGTTAAAGTGCGAACCAAAAGGTCAGCCAAACAGAATGGGAATGTGTCAAATAAAAATACCGGACGACCAATTATGGTCATGGTAACAGTGATAGTGAAATCACGTTGCGTTGCTTGTAGAACCTCGGTTTCATAATCCTAATTGCTATAGGTTCCGCAGTTGTCAGGATCTTCTTTCGTATTACTCTGTTGTGGATATTAGATACTGTAACGAAAATTGCAAACGATGTTTCTGGGTCAATATTGTGCTTGCTCTCCACCGGATATTGCAGGATTGAGCTGTTCAAATTTCTTATTATTCTTTTTCGAAGAGTGGTCGAACAGTCTTCAGAAATCCTCTTGGACAAACGCCTCGTTGTGTGTCCTCAGGAGGATTTCTATTATGTGGGTGAACTAGTCAGTCAAGATCTCTGGACAATAGATTGTTTTCTCCCTTAAAGCCAGGCAAATCACTTAATTCCATTTGTATCTCAGTAGAAAGAAGCTTAGAAAATGTGTGCACTGTCTTATTCACGTGCGCTTATGGCATACTGTTCTTTCGATAAGGGCATCCTCCGTTCTATTAAATCGAATGTTCATTTTGAAGGATGTTGTTTCTTGGCAGGCTCCCTTGGAGTCCGATGTTTGCAGAGGCAGGTAGTAGCTTTAGGAAGGAAGCCTTACTGCAGCACTCAGCAACCGAAGAATATCCAGTTGGACATGTTGGTTCATTTGATAAGGTCAGAACAATTTTACCACATTCATCGAAATGGCAAATGGATTACAGAGAGGAATGGATACGGTAC